GACTGTGCCTTCCTTGTCGCTGTGTCCTGTGACGTGCTTGCTGTGTTACCGAGGAAAAGAAGAGGTGTAGTGCTAGTGCTCTCACCCCAGCACAGTGTCTTGCTTTTCCCAGTAAACCATCTTACTGGACCTTTTGAAACTTGCCAGTAAAGGTGACTGGGGAAAAATGCTTGTGTTCTAAAGACCAATTAACGTGCTGAAATATCAGGCTAGAAAGCCTCTGAGAAGGAGATTGCAGTGGGAGCATGCATGCCTGTGGGTTTACTGGGTTTTTATAGCTGCTTGCTCAAACTTAGCACTCCGTACTTCTGTAGCAGCATCTTCTGAGCATTGGCCTGGGAATACTTTTATAGGGCTCTTTAGGGAGGTATTAAATAAGGAGCTTGTTTGGGTCATATCATTTAAAGGAGCAGACTCTTTTTCTAAAAAGTTTGATCATGCCCTTCTATAAAAGGCTATGTTTTAAAAATTCCCATTTCCATGCTCACAGCTTCTTTTCCGAATAAAAAGGTTACAACATAAGAGCAGGATTTGTAGTAGACTGGCAGTGGTCCTTTCCTTTTTCCTTTGTGCTGGATGGTTTGGCTGGGCTGCTGATGAAAAGGGAAAAGAAAAAACAACCCCAAAAAGCCCCACGAAAAAAACAACAACTTGCTGTGCTGCTCTCATCCAGGTGGAAGGCTGTGGGACAAGCTCTCTGTGCTGTGTTTATGCTTGTGTGCACTCTACACAAACTGGCTGTTTGCTCACATCTAAAACAAACTGTGTCCTGGTAGCTCGATGCCTGCTCCTTGGGGGAGGGAGAGCTGTGCCTGCCTGCCTCCTGCCTGAGCCCAGTGGAGACTTCAGTTGTGGTTGCCTGACAAGAGAATGTGGTTTTCCTGTTCCTAGGGGCTGCGGTCTTGTTCTCCCAGCTATACTAGGCTGAAATGCCACTGTAGCTATGGTGATCAAAAGGTATTTTTCTGCTTGGCTTGCTTGGTGCAGCTGCTGAAGGAGTTCCTTGTCTTGGCATCTCTGCTTGGCATCTCATCCCAGAGGGAGTAAGGAGACCTCAGCAACTTGCTGTAGATGGACCTGATGCAGCTGTGGGCTGGAGGCAGCCTGTAAGGCAAAGCTGGCTATGCATAGTGGGTTGCTCTCTGCAGTTCTTGCTCAGCTTCTCGTTGAGGTGCCAGAGCTTCCCAACTGTGGCACGTGTTTAGCATGCAAGTCCTTAGCTTGTTTTGATGCTGTGTGTCTGTTTTGCAGCACTTAAAAAAACATTGTTTGGAAGAGATGAGTCTGTGTTGGGAGCCAGTTAGTGAAGTAACCCTGGGCTTGCTCAGTCCTCAATTAGTACAGCACCAATCTCTGATTCTCCCTGGGGATTTTGGATGCTTAGCTCACCCTAAGCTCTGATCCTATGGGTTTTGCCTCTGTGGCAGGGTAAGGAAGTTCATGCTCTGGTAGCAAACATCTTAGTTCTCTCTAGATGTGTGTTTAGATCTGTATCTGCTGCAACACTGTGAGGAACCCCTGTGCCTTCAGTGGGTAACAGAGCCATGGCAGGCTGCCTTCCTAGCTCAGAAAGCAAAGCGCAACGCTTCTAAAAACCCCATCAGTGGCACCACTGCAGTCTCTTTGTGTCTGATGGCAACTTCGAGCATAGAGGTGTGACTTGAATCTCTTTTTTTCATCACTCCCCTTCTTACTTCCATCTTCCCACCACTACAGCAGACTCAGCATCATTTTTCCAGGAAGCAGCAGGTTCTAAGCTGGTATTCCGATGACGTGAGCAGGCTTCCTTGTGCTCTCAGTATAGCACTGGCTCACTTGCCTGGAAATCCTCTAAAAGCAGTTTCAGTGTTGGTGTAGCTATGTCAGGGAAGGCAAATACAAAGCTAAAACGGCCTCTGAGTGAGCGACACAGTGTTGAGACCTCAGATACCAAAATCCTGTGTAGCAACAAGCACTCAAGCAGGTTGCTCATGGCTTATCTTTTGACAGGGAAAAGCTGGCAGTTGTTGTGGTTGTTGTGCTTTTGTGTAACACAGTCCCCTCCTCCATTTCCTTGGAGATCCCACAGAAGTTAATTCATTGCTGTTTGTTAAGGACTCGGCCTCTCTCTGCTGCCAAATGCTGCTGAGGTACGCAGCACTGCTGCCGGATCTGCTTGTTTGCTTTCCCTGCTGGCAACGTGCTGTGACATGGCCTTCTTCAGGAGGAAAAGAATAAAGATAATAAAAACAAATTGTTTCAACACCCCCTCAAACTGCACAAAGTACAAAGCAACGAAAGTAGGATTTTATTGATGCTGCCTTTACAAGTCTGTGGTCCTGTGCAACAGGTCCTTTCTGTGTCGCAGGTTTCTGTTGCCTGAAAGTGCTTTTCACATCCTGATCTGCTTTTTTGGGCTCTGGTATTTTGTTGCTATGCCTGAATTACATTTGGCTGCCAGATGCTCTTTGCAGGACATAAGGAAGGTCCTTGCTTTGGCCTTGCCTAAATGGACAGTCTGGTATTGAAACTTTCTGTTCCTTTTCCTCCCACCTCTCCCCATTCTTTTGAAATTGTGCATACAGGAGGCCTTCATCTGCTGAAGCGCAGAGCGAATGGATGCAGTGGGTGGATACGGTGCTGAGCTCCTCCTGAGACACTTCTGCAGGGAAAGGCATCCGAGTGCGGGCTGTGGGCCAGCTGCCAGTTCCCATTCCTGGAGGAACTGGTGGGTGGGTGGGAAGGAGGCTGCCACTGAAGCACCTTGTTTGCTGAGGCAGCAGAGGATCTGGCATGCTGTGGAAAATCCCAAAGAGCTGCATTTTGCAGGAGGCCCAAGGCTTCCTTAGCTTGTTTCTGGGAGCTGCTGGGGTGCCCAAGTGAGCTGGGTCCCTCTGCTGTGCCAGGGATGGCCACATCGCTTGTAGGGCTGCTTGCTGCTCTGCAGCTCCCACTTGCAGCAGGGTGAGGTTTCCCCTTGATGTGGTTGAAAAGGTTAAGCAACGCTGCCCAGAAGGCTCTGATTCAGCCTTCCCCTCACCCTGGCTAATTATGGTCACCCTTCTAATTTTCTCAGCTGCAGCACCTTCTCTTTAATTCTTCTTTTCTTTAAAAAAGAGTTTGAAGAGTCCCAGCCCAGCTGCCCCCCTCACCTGGTGGGCCTGTGATGAATTGCATGGGAGCCAGAGATTCCCTAAATAGAAATTTAGGAAACTGCATCAGTAGAAAATAACAGGGCTTTAATATTCGGGGCAGCAACGGCGGAGTTTTGCAGTGTAACAGCTTGATCGTGTTTGGATTGTGGGCGCATGTGTGTCAGTGAATCAGAGGGCTAGGTAAGTCACTGAGGGATAGGAACAACTGGTGTCATGATAACAGCCTCTGTGGAGCTCAGGGAAAATGTGTGCGTGCATTAAGGTGCATCATGCTCTCCCAGGCCCTAGCAGAGCCGGCTGGCCGGTGGAGCACCTCCTATTCATTTCCACTGCTGCCACTGATGGCCCAGTGCTGTCTGAGACTGGAGCCCTGCACTGCCAAGGCGTAACTGTTCTTGTTTTTATCATCTTGTTTCTAAGTGTTACATTTTGCAACAAAGCTCATCAAATTTCACCTTTCTTCCCGGGAAGCAGGCATGGAAAAACTCAGTCGTGTTTGAGTACAGGCAGAAGGGAAAATATATGCTGCAGCTATGATTTATTTTGTGAAATTTTGTTTTGGAGCTGCAATAAATCCACAGTAGGAATTGGGAGTTTGGCAGGCAGAAATAAACTGGCTGTGGGTGGGGGCTGTCCATCTGCAGGTCTGTGTTAAAGGAATATTATTTCCCTGATTGAACAGTGGCCTTCATTACATATCGTTAACCGAGTGCTTAAATGAAATTGCTTGTAACGTATCTGATATGATATTTAGAACTGGTATTTGGAGAATAAAGCTCCCAGAGGATACTGTAGTTAGTGTGGTGGGGTGTTAGGCATCTGTCCTAAAGGTGGAGTTTGCTTTAAAACCTCAACTGATCATCTTAAAAGTGTACAGCTAACAAAACAGACGACGCTGTACCATAACAGTAAAGGAGGAAGGTACATACTGAGCAAGTCTGGATTTGTTTGTCTTCCCCAGCATCTTGTAGATGGACTGCATCTCTACTTCATTCGCTGCTGGGTGGGAGATGGGCAACGAGATGGTGAGAGTGACAGAGGTAGTGTGTGAGAGTTGAATTACTGGGGTGTGATGTAGCAGTTAATATTAGCACAAGGCACGGGAAAATTAAATTGCTCCTCCGGGAGCACACGTTGAATCAGTGGCAGTGATGAGAATTGAATGTAGGTCTTAATTTGTTCGTGTCTGTTTTCCCACATTACTATTCTTCTTTTTTTTTTTTCCCTCTATGTTGTAACATGTGTGAGAGTACTTGGTTGCTTTCCTTATGACAGGCTTAGTTGGTAAGTGTGAACTTCACAAACAACTGCCAACAAATATGTTGGCAGTCCCCTTTTAATTTTTGTGGGTTCCAAATGAAATGAAGTGTGATGCTGCCTCGATTCTGTCCCTTAGTTGGGATTTAACAGGCGCTGCTGGGATAATTCATTCTCAGGTAGCTGTGCTCCTAAGGCAACGATCTTATCATGCTGTGAGAGCTGGTAAGATTGGGCTCTTGTCAAAGCTTGGATGGAGGAGATGTGAGAAGCTGCAAGGTGCGGCTGGAAATGACTCAAATGGAAAAGCATCTGCACTGAGCTGGTCCCTCTGTGCAGGCTGGCCACACAAAGCCAGCAGGACACGCTGGGCATGCCAGGGAGCTGAGCACTGTCTGCATTTTGCCGTGCTGCAGGTGGCCTGGCACATCATTGACACTCTGCCCTTGCTCAGGGCTTTCCTATCATCCTCCTGTAGAGGCATGGAGAGACATTACTAGCATCCCAGACAAGTTTTTAGGTCCTATGGAGAGCCTGAGTATTTTAAAAAGAAATAAAAGACCTTATTGCATTCTGCAAGTTTATCTTCTCCTGTTCTTTTTCCTCTAGCATCCAGCGAGCTGCATTGGTGGTTCTGGAAAATTACTACAGAGATTTCCCCGTCTACAACCCAGCGCTGTTAACAGCCTCCAAATCCCGTGCTGCCAAACACATGGCTGGCCTGAAAGTCTACAATGTTGATGGTAGGTGAGGTGAAATGTAGTCTCTGAGAACGGGTGGGATAGGGAAGGGCTGTGTTGGCCTTATGCTTTGTTTGCACGCATTCTCACCTTTTTGCTTTGCCAAATCCTTGTCTCTTGCTGGAAGTTTTCCGAAGGGTGCTGAGGTTGCTGGTTCCAGATGACTTTACAGATGTGTTTAGCCCACAAAAAGGCTTTTGTTTTTGCCAGGTGAAAACAGCCAAGTTTTGGGTCAGGCTTAATGATTACGTGGCTTGACAGAGTTTCTTGGCACCGCTGCTTGCTTTGGGCAGCCTCTGCTTCTTGTCACCCTTAGGTCATCTCCTTGGTTGTGCTAGTACAATAAATGCAACTTTTAACCTAGATCTGTTCCCTAGTCATTCACTGCACAGATGCTGTGGGCAGCCTTCAGGAAAGCTGAGGAGGTTCATACCAATGTGGGGAGGAGCAACTGTGTAAGCAGCAGTTGACAGGGAAAGAAATGTTCATCAGGCTTGCAGCCTTAGCAGTAAATTAGCTGTACATGTCTTATGCTTGGCTGTGCTTCCAAGTCATCGTGATGCTCAGCAGTTTGCAGGAAAATGCCAAGACAGATAACTATCCCCATGGAGCCTTACTGTTCTGCAAACTTGTTTCAGGCTCTTGGGCTTTGAGGGTATGTGTGGGAGGATGGCTGAGTGGATCCATGAGGGCACTTAAAGCAGTGAAAACTGGACTTAATCATTTGGCACTCTGAAGCTCTGTCAGTAAAAGCTAGGCTTGATAAGCAGGCTGTGCCCAGTCATCTGAGCCTTCATAAAAGTGTGCACTTCTCTGATGGAAGAGCTTTGATGGAAGTTGTATGGGGCAGCTTCTTCAGTGAGGCACGGCTGAAATCCCATGACAAGATGTGCTAAGTCCTGCATATAAATAGGTTTGTATTGAAAGGCTTTGAGAGCAGGAAGGAACTGAAAGGACTTAGCTGGTCTAGGTGGCTTTGTGTGTGCTGTAGACACTGAAATGTGAACATCTGTCAATGCAGCCACATGTCTTGGGTTTTTCCTTTGCCTTAACAAGGCTATGATGTCTTTTATTTATTTATTTATTTATTTATTTTAATTTTTGTATTTTTGGTAGCTCTAGAAGTTTCAAAGCCTTTTTCTTAGTTTTTCCCCAAACCTGATGCAGCACTGCAGAGTCCATAAAATCAACTGTAGGTTTAAGATCTTTACAGTGAGATCTCTCATTTCTGGCAGAGGATAGGTGAAAGGGAGCAGGAGGGAGGCAGAGGGGCAGACTTCTTCCGTGTCCTCTGCTTCCTGGAGTGAAGAAGCTTGGAGGTGGGAAAAAATTAATTCAGTAAGAGAGAAGTAACACAACTTGTTCTGCACTTTTCTAGGAGTGAGATCTTGCATTCCAGTTGCTCATTCTCAGTGAGGCCCTGTGTTTGGAAATTCAGAGCTGCCAGATCCCAGTGTCTGTGCACCATTCAAACCGTACTGCAGGATATGCTGTTCCCATTACCAGCTTGCTTCTGGTGCAGCATCTCTTTAAGAAATAGCAGGGTGCCTGATTCTGTAGCAGTTACTGGGGTACCTCAAGCTTGGAGGAAAAACTGTCAGTACAGTTACAGCATTAGAAGTTTTGTGAGTTAGCAACTCCAAAACTAGTTGAAATATAAGGAACCAGAAATGAGCTCCAGATATGGCTGGCCAGGCCTTCTTAATGGCAATCTGATGAGCCTGGTAGGGCCTTAAAACTTGCACTTTCCATTTTGGGGCAGTACAGGATCCCTGGTCTGTTCCTTGTGAAACACTTCTGCCTTTGTAGATGTGGAAATCTCGGGCTTAGAGGCATATTCTTCAGAATCATTCCCATCCTCTTTACAAAGAGGAGTGTAGTTCTGGCTGCAGCTCGCCTTGGCGTCTTGACAGCCTTTTACACCCTCTGTGTGAAAAAACAGTAACGCTATTAAGCAGCTTAATTTGTTGGCAGCTTTTGTATTTGATGTTGTAGCAGCCAGGAAGGAAAAACATCTTGCTGTAATCTTATACAGAGTGGGGAGGCTTACCTTCAAAACCTGAATTTCCATCACCAGGCATAGTCAAAAAGGCTTGTAATAATTCTAACCCAAATTTGGGAACCAGTGTCTCCCTTGAGTAGTATTCTCCATTTCAAGTCTGTGAAACAAAGTCTGAAGTGTTCGGACTTTTTAGGAGCCATCTGTTTAAATGATGGGTCTTCCAACTGTTGAGCTTCAGGCTTCTGTCTTGGAAATGTTGTTTGTGATTTTTAGGAAAAATAAATAAAAGCTGCCTTTGCATAAGCAGAATAATTTAAGCATATCTGTGCAATTGATGGGCCTTAGTCACTGCCAGGTAAGAGCAGTTGGAGAAACAGCTCTCAGTGGTTTGGAGACTGTCTTAGGCTTCCCTTCTTTACCCTCTATTGGGTAGAAGAGTTGGTACACTTATCAAGAGTAACATTTTCTCCCTTTCTACCACATCTCTGCCAAACAGCCAGAGCTGGGAGCTTCCTAGGCCGTTCCTGCACTGTACGGTCACTACTTAAGGTCTTGTAAACTCCTCTTTCATTTGCTGGAGTGTTCAAGAGCAGGTCATAGATTACCTGTTCAGGGAATAGAAGCAATAGGAGCTCTGATAGCAGATGCTGCTCTGGAGTTGCTGCATGCACAGACCCCAGCCTAACCTGTAGCGCACCTGTTGCTCAGAAAGCATCTACCCTTCTGCAAAACTTGGTCTGAAGGTAGTTATGTTGTCTCTGCATCCTGCTTCTCTTTTCCATGTGTAACTGCCTGAACTTTGTTTTTCATTCATTCATATCTACGTCTCTTGATGTTCTTGTGTTTGTCTTTCTCCTCTTTCCAACGCCATGTTTCTTCTGTTCTCACACTGTCTTGTTGCTGAAATGTGGGGCGTTGCAGCTGTTCTTGCTGTCAAACTGAAAGCACATATAATGGATGGTAAGTTGCATCCTTGGCATGCGTATCTTACCTGTCTTTGCGTGAGATCCCTACTAACTTCTTTTTCCACTGTCATCCTTGGAGCTAGGAAGAGAGCTCCTCTCCAAGCACGTGCTGTCCAGCGGGGTTTCTACATAGCTCATGAAGCTGTGTAGACGGGGTAGGGGCAGAGTTGTGGCACACCTGTGGCAGATGCTTTGTGGTACTGCTCTTACCCAGCTCACTTCTGTGACAGTAATGCCCGCCTTCTTGTCTCCTCTTGCGGAAGGCCCAGGGAACAACGCCTCAGGGCAGTCCCGTGCCATGATCGCAGCCGCAGCCCGGCGCAGGGACTCTAGCCACAATGAGCTCTACTACGAAGAGGCCGACCACGAGCGCCGAGTCAAAAAGCGTCGTGCAAGGTAAAGGTGTCCTTTCCCCAGGGGTGATACCAGTGCGGCTCAGCTGATGCTTTTTAGAGGCTCAGTCATGATAGACTTGCTGAGCCTGTTCAGAGAAGAGGGATTTTTGATGAAGGGCTGGGGGGTGGCTGTAAATCTGTCGCATATGAAACCCAGATGCACAAGGGACAGTGACAGCTTGAAAACTAGAGTTATCTGAAGAAAATACATAAGCAGAGCTTGTGTATATTGTGCCAGATAAGCTAATGTGATGTCACGGATTAGGGAACAGTCCAGTGCTTGACAAATCCATAGTTACTTGCTGTAGGAAATCCCATTATTTCCCCTGTGCTCAGGCTTGTCATCTTGGCTCAAGTAATTCAAGGGCAGAGCTGGTGGAACAGTTGGTATTGCCTCTTTGTGGGAGAGGAAAGAATATGTTTTTACAGGCAACTAAAAGGGGCAGTTTGCCTGTCTTTCCTAGTAATGAATTGGAGGGGAAAGGCATGACCAGGACTGCCTCTGTTTTATTTTGGAAATAAATAGGTGTTTTCTGTAGTCACACTTAGTCTGAGGAGTTAACATTTTGGTGAGGTGATCCCAGAGAGTTTGTGCCTTTGTTTGCTTGAGAACCTAATTACTGTTTGTAGTTAACACACCTAACGTTTTGAGGGGAGCTGCGTACAGACAGGCACCCCTGTGTTTGGAAGGAATGTGCCATAACTGGATGGAGCTGGCTTGTATTGTGTTTTATTTTGGCAGCTTATATTTCATTGGGAAAGTGCTGGCACAGTGTCCCTCTAGCCTGATTTGGTCTGACCTATGCTCTGTAGCTGCAGTTGGTCAGGCTCTCTTCCAGCCATGGGGTAATAGGATCTTAAATTTTCTTTTCTATGCAATATAGCATTCTAATGTGTGCATGTCTCTCTTTCTTGATGAGGCTGGTTAGAGCAGCTGCTTAGTCAGAGCAAAACCATCAGTCACTAGAAGAGCATGCCAGATGTTACAAAGAAGGAAGGTCAGAGCTGCAACAAAAGGACACAAAGAGATTAAAAACTGATTTCCACTGTTCCCCCAGTCAAATTAAACAAAACTTACAGGGGTCAGGGATTCTTGTGCTGTTCTTTGTATACAGCCTGAATGCAGTGTTCTGTACCACTGCTTGTCCTGAGGCAGCTTCTTCTAGCTTTGCTGTACATTGGGTAATGGCATAAAGGTCACAGTAATTGGTGACTTGAGTGTGAAACACATCCTGTCTAGAGAGGCAAAATAATTTTGTCGGGTGGCTCTTCCATTACTGTTGCTTTTTCCCCATTGACTGCAGCATAGTCTCTGACTAGTTAAATTCTGCTGGGCTTGCAAGTGTCATTTGGCATGTTTGCCTTTTTATGGTGCGTTCTCGGTGTTTGCTCACCTGTGCCAACACAGGAATGCTTTGCAGAGGATGTCTTTGGCTGCAGTGTTAGGAGGGTAGATGGGGACCTCATCATTGTTCAGTGGAGAGTTACAGGGCAGTCATCCTGAAATGCAAGGTCTGCTCCCAGTTGGTGTAAATCAGAGCAGGCCGCAGCTGGTGAGCACAGTCTTACAGCACTCTGCATCCTGGGTCATGCTAGTTTATAGCCAGCCTCTTCCTGACATCAAGCTGCTGCACTGCATGCTGGAACGGCCGTTTCCAAAGATATGCCTTAAAACACAAGGGCAGCTGTGTCTTGTTAAGTCATGTAACTGATGTTTATGCTGTGTTGGCAGAACCAAGTACGACAGTCAGGCTTTTAAAGCCTTAATCCTGGTTTATGACCCTCAGTTTCTGGATGGCTTGGGCAAGAAAGGGAGAGCTGCTGTCTTACCTCACAGATCGTCAGCGGAGTGGATTTTATGTAACTTGTATGGCAGACAGTGAGTCAGTGGTAGAGATAGGAACTGGAGCTTGCAAATCCTGACTCCCAGGCTCTGCCTTAACTACAGACCCATTCTACCTCTTGTGTTGTGACTCTTGCTGTGCTGGTTTTCTTTCTGCAAGGCTTGTGGTTGCAGTAGAGGAGGCCTTCACTCATATCAAACGCCTCCAGACAGAGGAACAGCAAAAAGCTCCAGGAGAGATGATGGACTCTCGAGAAGCAGCCCAGGCGATCTTCCCGTCCATGGCAAGAGCTCTGCAGAAGTACCTTCGTACCACCCGCCAGCAGCAGTACCACAGCATGGAGAGCATCCTGCAACACTTGTCCTTCTGCATCACAAATAACATGACACCAAAGGTAACGTGCTCTTTAACCCTAGTGTAGGTTAGGAAGGATAAAGGGACAGCATGTGTGCGTGCACAGGGCAAGGATTTGCTGGGGAAAGCGAGTGGAGATTTTTATATCTGCTCTCTGTAATGCAGTCAGCACTCTGTAGATTGCATCAGGAAGTGGTGTTTCCTCTGAATCACCTTTTTCTTTTCAGCTGAAAGTACCCATGAGATAATTAGCTGCTTGTTCTGATATCCAGTTCAGCACTGGAGTCAGTATCAAAGAAATGTCCAAGGTGGTGGCCCTGAGTCATGGGCAGTTTTCCCAGCTGGCTGACTGATGGAGATAGCAACTTGCAAATGACATTTTTCTTCTTTTTATCTCTTCCACGCTGCTGCATTTTGGACTGCTGCTATTTATAGCCTAAATCCCTGTCTGACAGTGTTTGTAACTCGTGGTCTGCCTGGTCAGATGTCATTTTGTTGCTTCACACCCTGACTGCTGAACTGCAAATGCAGGGAGGGACTGAATGATGAGGGAGATGGGTCACGTGGTCCTCAGTGTCCTCCTTCCTCCCTAATAGCATCCTACAACCACCTTGCTGGAGAACACAACCCAAGGACAAAAATGCAATAATTCACTCTTGGGAATTTACCCAGGACTTTCTGTGCTGAGTGTGGAAATGCTGTGGAGAAACAGAGGTGGACCTTTCACTGGGATCCACACGGGATCTTCCTCAGAGGTGCAAGGGGGTGGTTCTGCTGCCATTAAGATAGCAAGGGAGAGGGGAACAGATGTCTCCTGAAGCCCAGAAGCTGAAATAACTTCCTGCATTGCAAGCCAATGCTCACAGAGCTGTATCTAGAGAAAGAAAGAGAGCGTGGAAGCAGACAGAGTCATGGGGCTGCTGTTTCCCCGGTGCTAATGTGTTCACTTTCTTACTAGGCATTCCTGGAGCGTTACCTCAGCCCCGGCCCAACCCTCCAGTACGACAGGGATCGCTGGTTCTCCAAGCAGTGGACACTCGTTAGCGAGGAAGCAGTCACAAGTGGGTTGCAAGATGGAATTGTTTTTGTCCTCAAGTGCTTGGACTTCAGCCTTGTTGCTAATGTGAAGAAAATTCCCTTCATCAAACTCTCTGAAGAGTTCATAGACCCTAAATCTCATAAATTTGTCCTTCGCTTACAGTCCGAGACTTCGGTCTAAGGGATTTTGAGGATGGGTTGTTTGGAATTTTTTTTTTTTTTTCACTATTCTGCTTTTGGGTTTTATTTCCCCAATGCTGACTGAAACTGGCAGATGATGGACCAGTAATATTTGACCATCTGCACTTTATTTGGAAAGGGGTGGAGGGAGCTGGGATATCTTATCTAGAAAGGAATATCTTAAGAGGCGACAGGGTGACTTGGCTTGGTTAGCTCAGCCTTGGAGACAGAACAGATTTTTTTTTTTCCCCTTTCCAGGCATATTGTGAATCTCACGCTCTCTTTCTCTGCACAGTTGCAATGTCTGTATTTCTGTTGGAATGCTGCCTTACACTCTGTGTGCTTTTGCTACCTGTTTCTCCTGAAAACAGGCTGCTCACCTGTCCACTACAGAAGTCTGCTTGTACAGAGAGAACTTATAGTTTCTTTTCATGTGGAAGTGAGAGAGTGTGAGAGGTTTCCTTGTGTCAGCTACATAATAAGTAAGACTGAAGATCTGTTTATTTTTTTTTTCCTACTCTCTGTGTGTTTTCTTATCAGTGCTGGATCTGTGTGAACATAGTGGGATGGTTTTGCAGTCTGTTTCTGTCTCTGTGAAGTTGCTTGTGTCAACCTGGATCAGCCCATCTTGCTGCTCTTCCAAAATTCTTTTTAGCAATGCTTGTTAGTGGAAACAGTTCTGCATGCCACTTTTGCCTCTTTTGTCTCAGTGTTTGTCCCTCTCCTTTGCCAGGCTCTCCAAAGCTCCCCAGTCTGCTTTCCAAACGTGTTTCTCTAGCCCCAGTGCCCTCGGGGTCTGCCTTACCCTTCTTCCTCTCACACCTGCGGGGGCTGCACATTTGCACAGGGTGGGTAAGTAGCTGGCTCCTTCTCAGATGCATCTCAGACACTGCTACGTCTGCAGCCCTGCAGAGGGGAAGAAGAAAGCATGCAGGAATGTATCCTTCCATATCCAAGGGGTTCAGTGTGTCTGGAAAACAGACGAGCAAAAACGCTTCCCTCCTCGAAGAGTGGAGCCAGGAAAGGGCTGGCTCTGCTGCCCCCCTCTTGCTTTGAAGAACTGCCGTGATGTTGAAATGCTGCAGTGCATCCTTCCCCGCCTTCAACAAAGCTGGGAAATACCAAACGGTCTGAATGCTGAAAACCTGCCTACCTTTTTTGGCCTTTTTCTGCTGTGGGGGTCTCTCCGTTCTCAGTGCCAGGATGGCCTGCTGCTTCTTTGCTCTTGTGAGAGATGCTTAGCTCTTAATTTGAAAGGTTTCTTTGTAAGATGAGCCTGTCTGGATGCTAGTTATGAGCATGGTGTGACTCCAAAGCCACCTCTGGGCCTGGTGGTGACTCGTCTTCAGGTGGGCCCCTCTTAGAGGCCCTGATCTGTGGTGACAGATTCAAGTGGAAATGCTGGATTCATCCTGCCCTGTCTTTTGCCATAAGATCTGTATCTATCATGAGCCAACCTGCCTTCCATGGAGATCTCTTACTGCAAAGGGCCCTGCTAGTGAGGTACACCCAATGCCATTCACTGCTTTATCTTCTGTTCTGGCCCATGATAGCTTCCTATACCCTCTTTTGCCTACCCCAGGCCTTCCTTGGGCTCCATCATCAGTCCACTGGGCTGCTTCCCTGCTCCAGCAGCAGTAGTTGAGAAGGAGCCACATGTCCAGCAGCACCAGCTGGTCCTCTTGGGTTTGAGGGAGCTACCAGCCACCTGAGCTCCCTGGTGAGGGAGGGTCCCAGGTGGAGATTCCCCCAGCCAAGTATAACCCATGGTCTGTGTGGCCTCCCGCTGCTGGCAGCTTTGGTCTGAATGTGTAATACTCACCTCCATCCTGTGGTCTCTGTGTGATGTGTCAGAATTGGTTGTGAAGAAACAAAACGTGCGTGATGAGACCAAGCCTATCTATGCCCCTTCAAGGATGAGAAGTAGGTGGAGTTTTCCTTGTCTAAACTCAACGCCTGAGTTTCTTTCTAGGTCAGACTTTCTTGCAGTCTGTGTCTGTACAGGGATTTTTTTACTGACTGTGGCCTTTGCAGTATTTTAGTTTGGAAAAACACAGATTTATTCCCTCCTTAAAAACAAAACAAACAAAAAAGGTGATGGAGCATACAGTATCTCACACGTAGCTCTCCTGAAGGTGTATGTATTTGTTTTTTATGATGTACATTACCAGTCAGGGCAGGAGAGACTGGGAGTAGCATGGGCACTATAAAGCACTTCTGCTTATGGCTGAACCAGCTTGGATGTGTGCAGCCAGAGGGAGAACTGCTGTGCCGGGGGCTTGGGTGTGCCCTACACATGGGAGCACCTTGGTTAGGGCACTGCTCCATAAAACCTTCCTTTCCCAGGATTTCCTCTCCCCGACGATTGGCCTGTCTGACAGTGTCTGCTCAGGAAACTCACGTCTTAATCCTTAGTTGCATTGAATCCTTAAGCACATGGAAAGCCAGATGGAAGCAAGACATGCTCACTCTGGATCTGCATCCTAATCTGTGCTACCTTCTCTGCTGTCAGCTCCTGCTTTAAGCACTCTTCCCAGTGTTGAGGTGAATGCTTTGCTTGATAAAATCTGAAGGAGAGAGCTTCACCTCTCAAACAGGTTGCTTACTGCAGAGTTGCAACCTGTTCCGAGCTGAGAACAGTCTATAAGGGAATCTGAACTCCTGGGTATTCCCAGGTTTTTTTAATGATTTTTTATTTCTCCAGCTCTCTCTTTGGGGGCTTGTTTCCCCTCTCCATGCAAAATCAAGGGACCACGATCATACCTACCTCAGTGGGCTGTTGTGGGCTAAACTCAGTGCATCACAAAGTGCTTTGAAATCCACATATGGATCTGTGGAGTCTGTAAGAACTCAGGCTCTTTGTAAAAATCCTAAGCAGTGAGAGCAGACTGGTTTGTTTAATTCTGTTTCTAGCCAGCTAATGAGTAAGAATTGAGTCACAGGGAACAAAGCTCTGAATCCAAATCCTGCAGTCCTTACTCCTGGAAAGCTTGCCAAGAGTTGAGCGTAAATAAGGCTTGTACAGTTTGCCAGCCAAGCACAGGCTGCTTCTCTCCAAATGCCTCCTATTCTGCACCATCTCCTTGTGTGTTAATCTCCCTCCTGTCGCCCAAGCTTGTATGCTCTTATCTAATTGAGAAGTGATTTTTAGAAATGAGTGGTTTTTGAGATAACCCTGTTTGTAGTGAAGGCTGAGCCCATGCCCCTCAGAGGAAGTGCTGTGTTGGCCCACTCCTCTTTTCCATGTGTGATTCTCAAGTATGCTGCTCAGACAGTTTGAATACTCATATTTGTTACAGCCTAAATCCAAATCCATGCTGAGATCTTCCTAAACCAGATGCAACAAAGACTTTCAGCTGCTTCAAGGAAAATGGAAATGACTGTGGGTTTTCACAAAGGCTGACTCTCTTTCATGGCCGAAGAGTGGAAAGTTAGGATTTCTCGCAGCTTCTAAGAGCACAGGGTAGTAGACCTTGGCAAACACACACCCTGCATGTAGCAGAGTATCTGCTGAAGGTGTACTCTGCATGGAAGAGTGGCAGAGCAAGGTCAGCTCCAGAGTATACCCTGCTTTGGGGTTGTGCTTGGCTCTTTCAAGGCAGCAGGAGACATCCACTCTGGAGCAGCATCTTGGAGACAGATTTCAGCTTTTCCTCTGGTGTTCTGCTACCTCTGAAGTCTTCATGCCAGCAGATCCAGTCACTCCACCTTACTAGCTGTGTTCAATTGAGTTTTCTGCTGAGGAGGAACAAATACCGGGTGGGATGTGAGGTGCTGGCCTTGGAGCCTGAGACAGCTTGGGGTAGGACACAAGTCTGGGAGAGAGCTGAACAAATTACAACCCGCAAAGAGCTTTTCCTCTTTTGCTTTGGGATGCTCCATACAAAGTGTAGGGATTCCACTGTTTCTAAGCATGCCAGAAGCTGTGGAGAAGCAGTTTCTAAAACTGGCCGTGCAGAAGTAGCTTGTAAAAGTCTTGAGATGTGCTTGTTCCAACGCTCGTTAGTGAAGAAACTGGAAAGATCTATACTATGCAAAATGTGGAAACCTACTCAGGCCAATTTCATCTTGCTCACAGAAACTTTTCAATCTTCTCTTTTTTTAAAAAGGTAAATGAAAAATCTTGCAGTCTATTAAAGAATGCTGCCGTCTGGCCCCAGGCTCTGCTCAGCTCTGCCCTGCTGTCCAAGAGGTGTTTTGAGATGTTTGTACAGATGTCTGTTTTCTCATTCAGCTTGTGCGTGGATGTGCTTCTCTCTTTATAGGTGTATGCATTGTACTTGTCTAAAGCCTTGAGCCAAGCTTGGTGGTTCAGTGTTTGAATTGTGAAGAAGGAAGCACTATTGGGATCAGATTGTTTTGGTTTATTATTTTTTTTTTAAGTGATCTCCTAAAATAGAGGGCTTTTTTTGAGCCTTGAAGTCTCCTTTAGGAACATGCCTCCTTATGTGCTTGGGCTGCTGCCTCAGGTAGATGGTGACCAAAAGTTGCTGTTTCCGACGGCTGGTGTGGATCTCATTGAGTTTACTCCAGATGGGTCCCCCCCCATCACCAGTTTATCTGCCTGTCTGTTTCCCTCCAAGAGGCAGTGTGTGCTGATCCATGTGCTGCAGTGCAGCCCCGTGGGCAGTGCATGATGCTGTGGCTGTGCTCTGCTACCCCACAGCGACTTCCCTTGGCAGTTTCCACCAGTGCTGACAGGGCTTGGGAGCATCTCTTGTCTGCACACGGGGATGCTGCGGCTCGCTGCCCGCACAGACCCAGCTGTGAAGGGATCTTACACTCTTCTGTGCCTGTTTCTTTGATTCAGCGTTATTGTGTCTTGGGGTAGGGGATGGGAGCCAGCTCTCTTCTTGCACCCTTTTTGATCACTGTGTAATACTCCTTTTCTACACATACTGTGTATAGTAAGGTGGGTTTTGCCAAGGTTTTCTAATTAACAGACACTAACCAGCATTTCTTTTTTTCTTTTTTTTTTTTTTTTCCCCCTCCTTTTTGCACATGTGACTTTAACTGCAGTGGTACATGGTCTTTCAGTTCTTTTCTAATCATGGACTTAAATAAGCAAATTCCTGGTGTCTGTGACATTAATGCACTGTGGGTTTCGTCTAGTAAGTCGTTCTGTTCCAAGCTGGGTTTTCTTCAGTTATAGCTGGATGGGTTTTTGTTGTTTTTAAACTGAAACATAAAACCGTTTTACACTTTGCATATTTTGTACAGTAAAATTCTGGAAATAAACTGAAACCAGATTTGATTGTCCCACTCTTTCCTCTTATCTTTTCAGACACACACAAAAAAAAAAAAAGAAGAAGAAAAGGGGCTCTGGCCTCCAGGCATTCCTAAGTTGTGGCTGGGAGGGGCCCTGCAAACATGTGGGTTAACCTATTTGAGGCTGCCTTATGTCACCTTCCTTTCAGACCTTTCTGATCCACCCTGCCATAGTAAAATGCAAACTCATTTATCACTCTTGAAGTTAGACTGGTAGGTGACTGCTTTGAACACCTGAAATCTCCAAGGATGGAGAGCAAATACAGCTGGTGAGGGTGTGTGGTGGGGGGGCCAGGGCTGGAACAGGTTTTTCTGCCTGCTGTATTCTTTGCTCATATATTATGAAGTGTAGGATTTGTGGCTGAATCCTTTATTAGGATCTGGTGGGGAGGAGGAGTGTTGAGGCAAAGCCTCCTTGTTTCAGTGGATGTGAGCCTGCTCAATGGATGTGTGCTCTGCTAAAAATGACTTTAAGGGCTTCTTGCCTTGAAATCACTCTGTGGGCGCAGCTGTTCCCATCCTCATGGTGCCGAGAGCTTTGAAAGACCATGTCTTGTAGGCCCTTGGTACCTTGCTCTTTAGGACAGCCCCTCCCATGGGCTCTCACATTTCACCATGCAAAGCAGCTCTTCTCTATGAGCTGTTGGAAAAATCCACAGGATGCTGTGGAGCAGTGAAAAACACAGTGTAGCAATTGTTGAGATAAGTGCTAAAAATACAAACGCTGGTGGAGGGAAACATCCCAACAAGTAATTCTGTGCTTGGAGGGAGAGGAAGGTGTTTGGGCTAACAACCAAAGCCCAGAAGGAAGAAGGAAGGGTGGGGTGGGGTGTGCTGCCTCCTGTTCTCCATTGATTTCTGCTTTTGATCCATATCCCTTCATCCTGCTGGTGGGGCCCAGCAACACTGTCCTGCCCTGCGCTGTCTGCACCTTCTCTGGGCAGCCTGTTCCCAGTGCCTCGTCACCTTCTGAGTAAAGGATTTTCTCCTAACATCGAAATCTCTCCTCTTTTAGTTTTAAACCATTCCCCTTTTACCCATCGCTATGTGCTCTTATTAAAAAGTTCCTCTTTTCTCTAGGCTGAACCAGCCTGTCCTCACAGAGGAGGTACTTGAGCCCTCTGAGCATCCTCATGGCCTCTTCTGGACCCTTTCCAACAGCTTCACGTCCTTCTTGTGCTATTGGTCTCTGTGCTTTCTCTCTCTAGCTATGGGTTGTGGAAACTGAAGGTAGAAACAGGCTTTGCCAGAGGGACCAGTTCCCCTGGCTTTCGCCCAGAGCTCAGGTATCTGAATCATAAGGGGCTGCGGTATGAAGCTCAGCAGAAATTAGAGCTGAGGGTGCTGCTCTGGGTTGGCCAAATCTTTCACTGGAGTCACGAGGGTCCTTGAGGTGTAAGGGAGCCCCAGGCGCACTGCTGGGGCAAGTGCTGCCCACACAAACTCTGACAAGATGGGGAAGGAAGCAGTGACTGGCAACAGCACGTGGATGAGCTGGGTGCTGCCCATGAGGTGAGCACCTTGCTTCCGAGGGAGGTACTGGAGTTGTTTATGAAGGTGGAACTCCTTTTGCAGTGCCCTGAAGGCTTTGGCTGCCCCGAGACAGCACAGCAATGCCTGCTGAGGTAAAGTGTCTGATGCTGAGCAAGGCGGTGCCTGAAGTGTGGCCTAGGACATGAGGAGGTCTGCTGACTGTGTAGTAGGTGGTGGGACCAGGCCTCATGGTTACGTGTGCTGAGGGAACTTTGCCTTCAGAGAATTCAGTGGGGAGAAATGGGGCAGAGATGTGGTCTGTGTGTAACACACGGGTTAAAGAAAGGGATTCGTCTCTTTGCTGGCTCCAGAGCCTTGCATGCAACACTAGCAGTGCCTCAAGTCGTGATAACATTAGCTAAATAAACAGCTTGATGAAACATCTAGCTGCGGTGTTGAGCAGAGCTTCCAACCTCAAAACAGGTTCTATGCATTGGCTCTGCTGCTCCTGCCTTAGATCTGAACCCTGGGAAAGTGTGGGGAGAGACTGAGCTGAGGCCTCCCAGGGCGGCCAGGCAGGCCCTGAGCTCTGGGCAGAGCATGATGCTAGAGGAGGGGATCTCTGTCTGTGTGTGCTGCAACAGTGTGTGGGACAGGAAGGCATGGAGGGAGTTGTCCAAGCGGTGCTTTTGATTTGTCTTTCAACACTGCTCCTGAGTTTATGTTGGACTGGGATGGTGATGGGCTTAGGTTACAGTCCTTTCCGGCCTGACAAATAATCCGTGGGGTCAGGGGTGTCCATCCCCTTTTCACGTGAGAACCCACGTGCTGCAGGGACCAGGTGGAGGTACGGGTGGTTTAGTGCAGTGATTGCACATGCATAAATCACTATGAATAAGGTTACCCTGGTTGCTTTGAAGTGCTGTTACACGTACCAGAGAGTACCTCCAACAGAAATAAAACTGTTTTCCGTTCTCCTCTCCGTTTCCCTGTGCCCTTCCAAAATGCAGTTGGAGAAGCCTTTCTTTTTCACACCAACGTTTATACAGGAGTCAGTGATCAGGTTGGAGTCCACTGCAAAACTGCCAGACACCTCCAAAACCCAGAGCTGATCTTCCTTCCCCCCACAGAATGAAGAGCCAAATGAGTGAAGGAGATCACTTCTGTGCATGACTCGGCTTGATGCAAATAACTCAGGGAAGTAGTGTTGCCTCCTGCAGCCTGTGGTCCCGCTGTGGGAGGAGCAGAGAGGTTTTGTGCTGGTGGGACCAAGGCCCAGATGAAGGGAGAATTGGTCCCTGTAAGTTGGGTGGGCAGCTTTAGGAGAGAAAGAAAGGAGATAACTTGTGTATGAGTATTTAGGATAGCTCAATGTGGCCACCACGCTATGTATCCTAGTACAGAAGAAGGAATAAAGCCTCAAGAGAAACAGTAAGATGAGGAGGAAGCAGTGAGAAGTTGATGGTAGAGACCTTAGAAGACAGGGTACGTTCTTTCCCTCCAGCATCCTTAGGAATATGAATGTACAAAGGCTTCAAAATCAGACACACCATAGATTTCTCTAGACATAAAGCTTCTCTTTGAATTTTAACATTTTGTGCCTGATTTTTCCAGAGGTGAAAATCAGGCTTTTAAATACTTGGACTTCTGCAGTCCTTCTTTTTAATACTTGAAAAGATTACATGAATAATAACTCCATAAAAGTGAAGAGAAGGGAGTTCTTGATAAAATACAGTTGATTCAGCCTCTCTGGAACTTTAAGAGACACTCAGAACTTTTAGCTCTTTGGACCTTCTTTTAGCACAAGTCAGATGCTATGAGCATGCTTTGAAACAGGGAACAAGAAGAAGCTGATTCAGTCTGCACCACAGATGTAAAACAGATCTGTAAATCTTTTAGCTTCTATTTTGTAAAAGCTCATTCTTGAGTACTTATAATACCAGATCCTACGGTTGATTATAATTTTGCTTTGAAAGTAGTTGGAGAAACTGGCTTAGTAATTCAGTAACTAGACTGGGAAGCATTGCAAATTCCTTCAGTGATTTCATTCTGCAGGGGCTAAACTGTTCTTCAAACGCTTGGTTACTTCTGTCATTCAATAACTCCTTTTCCTTTGTCACTAGCAAGAGTGGGCTTTGGCACACTGGTTTGAATTTTAGAGCAAAATCCCACTCCAGGCCAATCTCACTGGTCATGCATAGTTTTATTTTTACCCATGTTTCTTGTTGCATAGGCAGGCAGGTTCTCCTCCCAGCCCAAGCAGAGCAGGAGGTTGCCCATGGCCATGGTTTGAGACATTTGCCACCCATGGCCAATGAAGGGCGCAGTCAGGATGGCTGCTGCTCTTCTTAGGTGGGTGGTTGGCTTTCTGATTGCTGCTAAAGTATGGGATAATTACTCTGTCAAAAGTCTGTTTGTTTAACTCTTTTTTCTTCTGCTTGAGGCTTATTTCTTATGCCTGAAGCTTTGCCACTCATCTGATGCTCAGGCAGAGTAGCAGAATAAGTTTTATTTATTCATTAATTTAACAGTTTAGCACCTTATAGACCTGGTAAGGGTTGTTCCCCTGGATCTGGGCTGGCCTAGGTTGGGTGTCAGGGGTACCAGTCTTGAGGGAACTGGGGAATAAGCGGGAGACGCTGCAGCACAGTGCGTAACAAGTCTTGGGTCTCAGATAGGACTCAGTCCTATTGGCACAGCCAGATTAACCCAGGATAATTGCCCTTTCTTGGTTCTTTGTTGCCTGTTCACTGGTTGTCCCTCTTCAGGTCCTTAAGTCCAGGCATTGGTGTGTGACTAGCCCTATAAGGGGCTTCCCTGAAGTTTTGCTGAGGCAGAGAGAGATCCAGATGTAATCCTGAGTCATTTTCACAGGACTGCAAGACTTCAGTAGCCAGAAATTGATATGTTCCTGTCTAATTAATTGTTTAATTAATTGAGAATAAAAGGCAGTGTTTTTTGTTTGGCCCTGGTAATGAATCCCTGAATCATTTCTGATGTATGATGTGTGGACAGACACAGAGAAGCAGCCAATATCTACCTCTTCAGGATGGGAAACAGCCTAGGTGTCCAATTTGCCAGCATGGGAGACCACCCTTAGTCTCAGAAACACCAGCAGAACTGCTGACCATGAAAATATGAAGCACTCTGTGACTTCACTGTGCCACCCTTGTCTTCTCCTTCAGAAACTTTCCCAAGGAATTGACATTAGCTCAGACATAGTTCTGGTTCACGGAGTCTCTCCAGCGATGTCCTTAGGCCTGCTGCAACGGCAGGAGCTTCCTCCTCTGTGCTTCTGGTAGATCTAATACGTATTTTCACTGAAGTGGTAATCTCACATTCCAGTTAAATTGGTCTTAATACACATGAAGATGATGAACTCTGTTTTGCCCTCGTCCAATAGACCTACCTGCAGAAACACTGAGTGTGGCCCACTGCACCTCCAAGTTCTCTGGATGTAACTGTCATAAGATGGAGAAGAGTAAGGTATGCAGGTATGGGTATGGATCCACACCAGTAGTGTACTGGGAAATTAAACTATTTCAGTGGTTTTGTGCAGAGTTTCTCCCTGTCTCCAGCTGTAACCCACAACACACAGGTATCTTACCTGTCCCTGGAAGGAAGACACTCAAATTGAAACTTTCAGCTCCTTCACGAGGAGCTGTATCTCATTCAGCCCCTGTGAACCTGGGTGCTGTGGGTAAATGAGAGCGCCTTGGCCACCTGCTGTTCTTCGTTGCTGCAATCCTTCCACTTTTGCAACATCTGTTAATTTTTGATGGGTTTATCCCAAAAGAAGAGACTAGCCACTTCTGGCTTCATAAGTAAAAGCTGGAGACAAAATGATCCCCTTTGTGGTCAAAGAGAACTAAAGGGAACCATAACGTGGGACTGAGGAAAGAGAGAAGGGCAGTCCACTTCAAGAACTGTGCTGGCCCCACTGAGGAGTGGCAACCATATGATCAGCCCTTTTTCTCATAACACAGGGGGAATTCTCCATAAATCACCAACACCAGCCTACTGGCTGCAGTGTGAGCTCGGTCTTTCTAGTATCTGTATAAGGTTAACTACCACCTCTGCACCTGAACACATCTGCAATGCTATTTGCAGGGTCTATTTCTTCTGCCTGATTTATGTCCGTTGGAGCATATGGACAGAGGCTTATCATACTAGAAATATGTCTGGGAGCAGTGGTATTGCAAGGAAAGTATCCAAGCAGTTGGGGTGTCGAGGGTTTATCGACAGTGGCAGGACTTAGCAATGACTGATCTGGGGCTGCAGAGCTGCTAAGGAAGTTATAATATACAGAGTGAAATCTTGCATGCTTTCCTCCTGGGAATATCTCCAAGGTAAAGATAAGCAAGTACTATTCTCAGGTGAGCAACATAAGCAGAGTTTGTCCCTTAATCACAGACTAAGAGACTACTAAACTGCCAGTTTAGCCTGTTCTTGCTCTTTACTAATGTGCGTAAATGAGTCTTTGAGTTCAGCTTGTTCCCTCTCTCCCGGCTGAAATAGCTGAAAGGGCAGAGCAGAGGGATAGCATTGGTCACCTTTCTGATCTGGAGAGAGGACCTCCAGTCTGACAGCACACTGCATTTCAAGCCTTCCCAAAGTCTCCACCAGATCCTTTGGATTGGGGCTGAGGTGTTCACCGCTGTGCACGTTGGTGTAAACACCCAGATGATCTCCCCAAACACACTTGGTTCAAGTCTTCCAGAAAGTGCTTATGTATCATAAAGAAATAAGAAAGGGCTAACACAGATAATACCCAACCTGAGGACATAGCTGTCCTATCATGCTAATAGATAGTGCCTGAAAAGTGCTACTTGAGTGTCAGATGCTCAGTGTGAAGCTAGCATGGCCTATAGCCATCTACCACGTAGGCACAGCATTCATTCTCAGAGGGATGTAGACATCCAGCTGAGTGTTTTTCATGCTGGCACCTCCCACTGAGGGGACATGGCACGCACAGAAGTAGATCAGTACTTCAGCCAATTTATACTAGTAACTTCAAATTTCTATTTCAGCTCAAGTATAGAGGGAAAGAGAGAGACAAAGAGACTGACCAACGTAAAGGAGAAAAAGAAATCTATAAAATCTTGCTTTGCAGCTTATCCAATGAAGGAAATATATGGTGTGTAAACCTTGTTTCTCATCAGGCTGATTCATTTTTATACAGCGTGCACTGAATCTCTTGTTCCTTGCACTATTATTTCCACTAACATCACTTATCTCTGACATAAGCCAGTTTTCTTAAGAAAGACCAGAACAATGTTTTTTGACTGTTTCAAGAGAGGACATATACATCCCACCTCTGCTACCAAGTCTGAATTACTGGAAAACATATTTATAAAGTATTTATAAAGATAAAGCATCTCCAAGCTCTCCATTCATTGCACTATTGTCAAACCTAAGAAGCTAAGACAATTGAAATCTGCTGGCATGGGAAAGCAGGGAGATCTAATGCTGTTGAAGTGACCTGCACATGGATGGAGCTGCACTCACTGGGACTCAGTCACTGGCCCTTTACCTCATGGCTGCAAGCTGATGCCATGAGCTCCACCTCAGTGTGAAAGAGGTTTCTCACAGGCTACAATGGGACATCCAAGTCTCAAAGCAGGGATTGAATTTGCAGCTGAATATGTAGAAGTTGACCAGCTTGAATGCTTTCATTGCTCATTGCCCAACTCACTTAATCCAGCATCTAGTATGGTTGGATGGATATGTTCCTTCCTAACACCTTGGTCATGGGAAAAGATGCTACATGGAATTTTGGTTAAAAGTCACCTAAAGCTGGAAGGTCATGGGGAATAGGAAGGCTTCAGGGTGAGCCCCTATGAAGGTTTCTATGGGCAGAAGTGTGCTATCTCACATTTTACCACCTCAGCCCAGACCTGGCTGCAGATGTTTGGAACTAGCCTGAGGTCAGCTCTGGTGTTTCCCCAAGATTAAGAACCAACAGTCAGGCTCAGTGCAGTGATCTTCATCCTTAAGAGTCTGGTCTCAGACCTGCATCAGCCTTTCCAGCATTCAGAAACTTCCAAGCTTGAGAACTTGCAAGCTGTGCTGTCCTATCTAAAACCACCTGCACTTACTCTACTTTTTGCTTGAAGAAAGTGTGTCAAACAGCGACTGTGGTGTTGGCTTTTGCATCCTCTGTCAGATACAAATATACTGTCACTTTATGGAATCACTAAAAATTATTTTAGGAACACTAACTAGCGTTCCTAAAACTGTTTTCCCCCCCTCAAATGTTTTGCTCCTCCTAGTGTGCTAACAAGTAGCTTTATACTCCAATAGCAGAACTTTCAGGATCCAGTGGTCTTGGCAGAGTAGCTGCAAAGGGCATTTTGTTTAATGAAAGGACTAAATTTTACAGTGACCTTCCCTCTGTTTTGAGTGAGATTTGGTCTTTGGATGTACATGATGGGCTGATGAGCATGGAAAATACAAACTGGCTCCCTGTGTCCTTCTGGCAGTGAGCATGCAGGTGCTTTCCTCCTGCACTGGGCACTGGGGGAGGTTCCCTACAGATTCCTATTGTCCTTTCTACGGAGGCATGATTTACAGCGGTGCTGGGCACCTGCTGGTGCCACCCACCAAGGTAGCAGTCCTGGTGGCTCAGCACCTCTGAGAATCAGGCCGGGAGTCCCAGCAGGGGCAAGGGGAGCGGGGCAAGGGGGAAAGGAGGAGCAGGCGGTGCTTGCTGACGCTCAAACACAGGTCTTCTGATGAAGGGACCTGCCACAGGGGGAGGCCTCTCAGCCTCCACAAGTCAAACTGTACAGAGTCACAGTTAGTCATCATCATCGTCGTCGTCATCATCGTCGTCATCATCATCGTCATCATCATCATCATCATCATCGTCATCATCATCGTCGTCATCATCATCATCATCTTCAGTATTTATCTTCCCAGAAAGCACATCCTCTATCCAGTCCTCCAGCTCCTCGGCTGTGGGCAGGTCATCGTCGTCCCTGATGTCCATCCAGACACTATCAGCCTGTGGAGACAGGTGACAGGGATTAGCCACCCTCAGTCACACGGGAAGAGATTAGATTTGTTGCTAATGCTGTGGTAAGGACCGGACCATATGAGGGATGCAGGGTTGGAGGTGGCATTAGCTCCCTCCCTACTACAGCACGTGGGCAGGAGCAGTCACAATACCACTCTACCCGAATGCTGGGACTACCACCCTCCCCATGAAGTGCTATTGGTTCTGACTACAAGATGTAGGACTGCTTGAAGTGTCTACAGGAGCCTTTGGTGCTGTTTGTTGTGTGTTTGATGTGAGCCTGCTGCCTTGTTCCTAATCCTACACTACATTACTTCCATAAACTGGAGAGGTGAGGGTGAGTAACAAGATGATGTCGTTTAAAATGCAGTTAGAAGGTGCTGTCTAAATTGCAGCTATTAGCCAGAGACAGAAAACATAGCTTAGATTTGTCTCTCTGTTTTCCTATAGGTTCCTTGAGTAAATGCCTTGATAAGCTCCTTTTCCTTCTTTGTTTTCTCTCTGTAAACAAGATCAGCCTCCTGTTTCACAGAGGTGCTGTGAGGTTCTTTCTATCAGTGTTTGATTTTGCAGAAGCAAGAACTTTCCATATGTCAGATGATAGCTACACACACCACTTCTTTGTCAGTGGTACTTAATTCTCTTTATTTATTCTCTTAATATCTGGCTTCTTAAAAAGCCAAACTGTATTTAGAATCAGAGAGTCACAGAATAATTTGGGTTGGAAGGAATGTTAAAGACCACTCAGTTCCAAAACCCTACCATGGGCAGAGTTGCTATTCACCAGCTCAGGCTGCCCAGGTCCCCATCCAAACTGGCCTTGAACACCTCTGTGGGGCATCCACAGCTTCTCTGGGCAGCCTGTTCAATGCCTCACCACTCCCATAGTGAAGAATTTCCTCCTTATGTTTAATCTAAACCCACTTTCTTTCAGTTTGAAGTTATTACCCCTTGTCCTCTCACTACACTCCCTGCCAAAGAGTCTCTCCTCCTTTTTCCTATAGGCTCTCTTTAGGAATTGGAAGGCCTCAATGAAGTCTCCCCAGAGCTTCCTCCATGGTCTGAACAACCTCATGTCTTTCAGCCCCTCTTCACAGGAGAGGCACTCCAGCCCTCTAAACAAGGTGGCTTCCTCTGGACTTGTTCCAACAGGTCTGTGTCTTTCTTACACTCTATATCTGCTACATTTTCCTTCTAAAACACCAAAACTGAAACAACAACAACAAAAAAGGACCACAGAGAGGCATGCAGCTCTTACTTCATGTAAATGATCCTGTTCCAGAGCACAGGACCATTTGTGTGGCAAAAAGGGATATCTCAGATAAGGGTAGGGGGAGTGGGACCATCGAGAAGATTCTGTGCAGAAGCAGAAGCAATGTTCTGAAGCACATCATGGTGTGAGTTCTGAGCCACAACAATGTGACAAGCCAGTGTGGGCCTCTGGGAGCTTTGTGTTTGTACTGGTAAGTTTTTAGAGAAGTGATAGGGTCACAGAGGTTATGTCCACTGAAGCCAACAAGGAGTGTTTATTTATACTTGGCTGTGTAAGCCCTACTTTGTACCTGTGTAACTCCACTGAAAGCAGTGATGTAACACTGAAATAGCAAAATGAGCTCAATGTTTGTGTTAGATATCACCAGCCAACCTAGAACTTTCTTAAATCTCTCTCTTGAGGAATAGAGAACAGACTTAAGAGGAATGAAATAAAATCTGTAAATACTATAATTGACAACCTGAAATATTTACTATATCAAATCTAGATAATGTATGAGTTTCTACAGGTCTCTTAGTGACTGCCAGATAATAAGGCATATGTTCCTGTCTAATGCTGCTTTTTACATTATTCCCTTGTTACTGACAGTCTTACTTTTATGAATGCCCATTGATAGTTGTTTAATGTTGCTTTGACATGACTTAAATGTAGCCAACTGCAATAAATATAATAGACACCATAAGCTAGTAATAAGAGCAAAAGACTGGAAGACTTGGGGCTCTATTTCTAGCTTGTCTGTTCCTCTCTCTCATGATTGCAGGTGACAGAAACCATCTTGGTCCACTTCCCTTTTCTCTCTCTCTGCCTAATATTCTGACAAATGCTGCCCTAAAACACTGGACACATCCAGCCAGCACTGCATCTGCTTGGGGTTGGGGGCCAGGCAAACAGCTCAGCTGAAGTACATCTACACCAGTGCATGTAGCATGGGTAAGAGGAGCTGGAAGCCATTGTGCCACAGGCAAACTATGAGTTGCCATTATTGACACATGGTGGGATCTCTCCTAGGACTGGAGTTCTGCAGTGGATGGCTATAAGCTCTTCAGAAGGGATAGGCAAGGAAGGAGGAGCAATGTCTTGATTGTCTGTGCTAGCGAATGTTTTAGTGCTGTTGAGCTTGGGACAGGCAATGCTCAGGTCAAGCCTCTACGTTTAAGGATGAAGAGAACAGCCAACAAGGCTGATATACTAGTGGGGGTCTGTTACAGGCTGCCTAACAGGATGAAGAGACAGACAAGGCATTCTAGGAGCAGCTGGCAGAAGTTGTGAAATCATCTGCCCTTGTTCTTGTGGGGGACTTCAGCTTCCCTGATACGTACAACACAGCCCAGATGAAGCAATCTAAGAGGTTCCCGGAGTGTGTGGAAGATAGTTTCCTGACACAGCCGGTAAGAGAGGCCGTACACAAGTAAGAGAGCCTACTGGGGTAGGTACCCCCATAGACCTGCTGTTCAACACTGTTCTCTGCTCTCACAAACTGAGAAAGACTAGTGGGAGATGTGGAGTTTGAGAACTGTCTTGGGCACAGGCTAAATCGATGGGCTGAGGCCAATAGGATTAAGTTCAACGAAACCAAGAAGTGCCAGGTCCCACACTTTGGTCACAACAATGCCAGGCAATACTACAGGCTTGAGGCAGAGTGGCTGGAAGACTGTGCAAAGGAAACGGGCCTGGAAGCGTTAGTTGACACTCAGCTGAATGAGCCAGCAGTGTGCCCAGGTGACCAATAAGGCCAAGGGCATCCTGGCTTGTACCAGAAACAGTGTGGCTAGCAGGAGCAGGGAGGTGATCGTCCCACTGCACTCAACTCTGGTGAGTACTATGTTCATTTTCAGGCTCCTTAATACAAAATATTGAGGCCCTGGAGGATGTCCAGAGAAAGACAACAAAGCTATGAGAGGTCTGGAGCTCAAATTTTCTGAGGAGTGGCTGAGGAAACTGAGATTGTTTAGTCCAAGAAAAGGAGGCTGAGGGGAAACCTTATTGCTCTCTACAACTCTCTGAAAGGAGGTTATCGAGAGGTGGGGGTCAGCCTCTTCTCCCAGGTAACAGTAATAGGACAGGAGGGAATGGCCTCAAGCTGTACCAGAGGTGGTTCAGGTTGGATATTAGAAAACCACTCCAAAAGAGTGGTGAGGTGCTGGAAGGGGCTGCCCAGGGAGGTAGTTGAGTTACCATCCCTGGAGGTGTTCAAGAAACATTTAGATACTGTACTAAGGGACGTGGTTTGGTGGGCAGCGTTGGTGGTAGGTGGATGGTTGGACTAGATGATCTTAGAGGTCTTTTCCAAGGTTAACAAATCTATGATTCTATGACTCTACACTCTGTAGCTTCTAAGCCTGAGCACCTTCCTCTCATTCCCTGCACACAGGAATGATAGGGTCCTGATGCTTTTTCCCAGAGGAAAAAAGCCTGTTTTTCTCGCACTTAACAGAAATCTCAGTAATGCCAGTAGACCTACTTTCTACTTTGGATCCCATAATTTTCAAGCATTCTATTCATGGAATCACTGGATTTTCAGATGCATGCTACTCACGTCTGTGACATTCACAATCCCAATCTGTGGCCTGAACAGGTCAATCTTGAAGGTCTTCTCCCAGTAAGTGATAAGCTGCAGGAGCAAGAAGCAAAACTCAAACAAGGATCTTTGCAACATTCCTTTGCATAAATTCAACTGGAAGGGCAGTGAGTCCAGAATACCATGGAAGGAGTGGAAGAGGAACTGAAAGCTTGGCCATTGCTCATAGCAAAGAAAAGTGCTGTCTCTGGGGACGCTGCTGAGACATCACTCAAGTGAGCAGCTCCTAGTGACAGCCCATGGTGCAGTGCCCCTTGCTTTGCATCCTGTGCATGCACCCGGGCTAATCCTGTGTGCTCCTGTGCCTATATCCACATGCCAAATCAAGGAAGGAAACCAGCCCCTGCCACTCACCAGAGGAAAGTCGTCAGGGTCGATCCACACAATGCTCAGGTCAGGATTATCAGTGTTGTCCCTGGCAACCTGCTTCAGGATTTCCAGGAACTCAAAGCCATCTGAAAAGATAGAGGAACCTCTAGAGCCCTCTCCTGCAAACACCCAGCCACTTTCGCTTGTGGGGTTTCTGACTTCCTTCACCCCCTATGAACACAGGAGTTGTTTATAATTCTCATTAAAATGCTGTCTCCCCACTCTTTCTTCTGATAATAAGGCTTTTAATTTGGACCAACCTCCCTGGGTATTGAAATTAGTTGCACATGAATTAATCCTCATAATCCCTCCATGGAGCGGAACAATGTAAGTGTTTTCTTGTGGCGAGGGAGGAGACACCAGCCCTCAAGAGGCCAAAGCTTTTCATCACGCTGCTGGCATTGAGAATCACTGATTCTGTGGCTTTTCTGGAAGCTATGCCTACGGTTTTCCTCCATGATGTGACAGAACAAGCCCTCAGCACATTCTTAATTCACACAACAAGACAGATTCAGAATTAGGGACAAATCTTAGTGCCCAAGCTCCAGCTTTCTTGCTGGCTATGGGAAAACATATGACCTGCCACACCAATCAAACCAGAGGTCTGTGCTAGGCACAACTTTTGTGACAGCTGCGGCAGAGATTCAGAAGTAATGGATTGCTTCCAGGTCCCAGATTGGGATGGAGATGACACCTGTTCTTCCAGCCAGCCATGTACTTACATCCAGCCTGTGTAGGATGGTCTGGTCAGGGGAGAGCTTTGAGTCAGCTGGCAGAGGAGAGTGAGGGTGGTCCCAGGGGCTTGTTAGAAAATGATGGTAACCCCTGTGCTGAGGATCAAGGTGTGGGAGGACAACAAAGCAGATAGTAAGGGGGGATGAGAAGGAGCAATTCTGGGGGCTGAGGAGGGGACCTACACCTTCTTGAGAGGATGAAGAGTCATACAGTGAAGAAAATGGCCTCCTACCTGGGTCATCTTCTTCAGCAAAGGCCACGATATGGATTCCTTCCATGTCATCCTCCTGCAAACAATGAAACAGTTATTGATAGGACAGAGGGAAGACAGTCTGAGTGGTTGCTGGAGACAAGAGGTGCTGGGATAACTTTGAACAAGCAGCACAATCTCCAAGAGAAAATTAGCTGAGGCACCATTGAGACACCAGAAATGAGAGCTGAAGTAAGGCTGAGTTGTGGAGGTAGCAGGCACCAAAACAGGTTATTTGGGCAGCATTGCTGAAAAACAGGCTAAAAGTAAGGTGGGCACTCCAATAGCAAGGGCAATAGAGCTTCTCTAATGGTGTGGGTCAAAACCTTGGTTGCTGAGAAGGTTGAAAACCACCTAGCATGGGAATCTGTGTTCACCCTAGGTCACCTGAATTCACTGTGCTCAGCCCTAAAGTATGCTTGTTTGAGTCCACTAAAGGAGCTTTCCATGCTGTGGGGGGTGATGTGGATCACTTGGGCATCTTGTGGGAAGTGAAGGGTCTCTGCTCTAAACAAGGCTCTTCATGAACAGCAAGGGGCATTGAGTAGGAGGCTCAATTTGAGGTTCAAATGAATGGAAGATAGAAATGACAGCCTGGCGGGCTGCTTCTCTCTGCTATGTGTGAGCAATGGGTAATGATATTGGCAAAGGCCAATCGATCCGCCAGCTGTTTTGTCATCCGCCTGCTATGAATGTCATCTCCCACAGAATGGCTTCACATTCCTCACCCACTGCTGGTCCCGGATTTGATTTCAATTGGTTTTAATGCGAGAAGAAATTCCCATCTAAATGCTAATTTCTTTTCCATTCTGAGCTCAGAGGTGACAAAGCCACCATCAAAAACCGAAAGGGAAAAAAACCTGAAAGATTAAGTAGAAAATATTATCTTTAAAAACAACAGCTAGTGTAGGGCCACTGGAGGCATCTTTGGAGAATATGATTTCACAGGGGTATTCTGGGCAGATTTTCTCTGGGATTCAGAGCACTTAAGGCTGGCAAAATCTGCAGCATTCCTTTTTCTCCATATTTATCAGCAGCATTGTCAGATAGGAAAATACAAATATATATATGATCAGAATATATATATACACCAGGATAAATGCATATATATTCTGACAGTCTGTGTAGCAAACTAAACTGGAGTAACACCAACGAAGCCACTGGTGCTGTCCTGAACTTGCAGTAAGACCTGAATCCACCCTGTTGTGGTGCAGATGCAAGTTGTGTGGCAGAGGAACATTTCGTATTTCCAGGCTGCTTTTTAAACAAATATCCCACCACTGACAATTCACACACTTCTCTAGAGGTTATTTCAGAATGTATTCAGTATGAAATCAAAATCATTGCCTGTGAAATTTGGGTCCTTGCAAAGCCTGTGAAAGTAACTTTGAGGAACTTAGTGGATCTAGGAAGCCATATTCTACACAGAATCTGTATTTCAAAACAAAATGAAAACCTACCATGCCTAAGTGGCTCATAACTCTCAGTACAGTTTATTACCTCTTGCCTTGTTGTATTAAAGATTCCCAGGGTTTTCAGTGCTTCTAACTCCCACAGCATTTCATGTTATATAGTGAATGCTGTTAAAAATGCTGTACTGAGATTTTTGGAAGAATGATTGCATCTTCTATAAGCATCTGTTCAGCTTTGTTTTCCACATTCAGCTGGCAGTTAAAGCTCTCTAGATGGCTGTTAATGTCTTATTCATCCATGGTGAAGGAATAATTTGCAATACACTATTTTTCTTTATTTTTCACCCTTTCCCCCTTCCCCTACATTTACAGACCAGGAGAACTCTGTGTGTGTGTTCTGCTCCAAACTGCTGGTTAGTTCTCCACAATTGCTGACTTGCAGCTTGCTCACACCTCAATAAGAGCAATCAACAGGCTATTTACTCCATAATCTATATAATCAGCTGAACTGCCTGCCCTCGCTTGCATTTTGAATTGTACTGTTGCTCCAGTACAGTTTCCATGAGTCATTCATTTGGTACAATCTCTGTGACTCCCCCATCTAAAGGATGTCCATTAGATGATCCTTGCCAAGATTGCTCTGCATTGATGTACCATGGTCAGTACAGAGATTCTCAACAACAGGATACCTCTTATCTTGGCTGGAGTAGTTGGTTACCTGAGAATAACTTCTACTTTTGGGAGGGAATAACCATTTCTTGGGAATTAACTCTTTATGCTTCTGGGAGTGTGGCTCTGTTTGCTTAGCCAAAGGCTGGGGCTTGGGAGCAGCAGTTTGGTAGCCAGAGGGGGTTTGTTTCTGTTTGGAAGCAGGGGACGCAAAGCTTCATCTTCACGTGTACTAACCCATGTCTCAAACATGTCTTCTGGGCGTAGCTTCCTCAAGGTGGCTCTGAAAAGAAGAAAGAAAGGCTCTTTGAAGATATATCCAGCACCGTCGCATGCAACACTGCCACTGTCATGGGCAAGTTCCCTGTGCCACATTTGATTGATGTCCCAGTTCAACACTACAAGCCACCACATTTTGAATGCAAGTCTGGGGCTGGATAGGTCATCTTCTACTTTCATGTATGGTCATAAAACCCTGCCCTTGGCTTCGCTGGAGTTGCTGTAGCCACTCCTTGTGCCTGGGAAGATGAAACGCCACTCTGTGCTGGGACATGCTGGGGTATCAATCCTACACATGGCGGATTGTTCCATCCAGGCTGAGAGCATAAGATGAGCCATTCACTTTTGTTTTGCTGTCCTTAGGACATTCAATACTCTTGTTTTCCTATGGGACTCTGTTCTCTTTTAGCAGTTTTAGCCCAGCTTAACTTTGCCATAAAAATCCCCCAGATTCTGTTATAGCAAAGAATAACCTCTAGTGAGAAAAAATACATCATAAGAACCATTGGAAAGAAAATGTAAATCAGCCAAAGCCTGGTAGGCTTTTTAGAGTTTGTTTTCGAGAAGCAATTCATAAAGGGTAAAAAAAGGAATAGTAAATGTTTTCAGACACATCTGCAGCAGAAAGCTTGTCAGAGGGTCTGGCTGGCTGAGGGGTGAACAACAAAGGGACACAAGGCTGTGGCAGATAAGCACAAGGGACCCTTTGAGTCTCTGCTGACTGTGGCATCAGTGTTCCAAGCAGAACAGCTCTTCACGGCAGAGAAGCCCTGCAAGTTGTTGCAAAAAGAGTGGGTCCATTAGGTTTTTGGAGAAACTGGTAAAGTGAGTGGCAGCATATCACCAAGATGAGGGGGCATCCTGTGAGATGTGAAGCCTGTTGCTTATGTTTGCCTCTCTGCCAGAGCAGTGGAAACAGGGAATGGATGTTCAGGTTTTTAAAGGTTCCTGATGGCTCAGAGGAGCCAGTTAACATTCACAGCATATGCTTTGGCAGGATCATATGCATAACGTATTCTTACATTATCTGAAGAAAGGTAGGAAATTGGAAGATGACAGCATTTGCTTATTATACCCAATTATTCAGATGGTCCACACCAGGCCTGACGGAGAGGAGTTACAAAGGCATCTCCAGAGACCTGAGTGTCTTCATGATGGATAGACATATAGGAAGTAACACATTTGCAGAAAAGCAGCCCTGATTATACAGGTCCAACAATGGGCTCTAAATTAGTTATCATTAATTATTGTCTCTAAGGGAAGGGGCCCAGGTGTCATAAACTGAGAAAGCAGCAGTTCCAAAAACAAAACAAAACAAAAAGAGGTTGCAAATGGTTGGGAAATGGCTAAAGAGCAAAAGACATCATATCATTATAGCAATAGACAACTCCACTGCATATCCCCTCACTGAATGCATTTGTTGTCCAGAATATCCCATCACAGAAATGATATAGGACAACCAAAACAGTCCCATGAAAAGATGGCAGTGGTAAAGAAAGGTTTGGAATGGCCTCTATTTTGTGGAGATTAACTTAAAGAAAATTATTTGTCTTGAAAAATAAGTGACTGAAGAGGGATTTGGTACGGAGTGTGAAAAATGTTTACCATTCACAGGGAGTGAACCAGGCTAGTCATTGTTTCTCAGAGCACAGTTGGTAGGCATACAGTAAAATTATAAGGCAGCTGGTATAAACTGAACAAAGAGGAATACTCTTTTGATGCAATACACAATTCAGCTTTGGAACTCCTTACGTTTAGATACTTTATGCAGCAAAATAGAAATGAAGTGAAAAATAACTACAGAATTTGAAGAAAAAAACACTAAGCACAAGGACAGGGCTACAGTTCTTGACCCAGCAAGTGTCCTCACTGCTGTTTGACTGAAACTGGAGATTATGTTGGATGAATGCATATCTCATACTTGTATCTAGCGTTTCAGATGCTTTGCCTAGCCGTTTTCTAGGGGCAGCTCTTAGAGAAAGGAAATTCGGCGACAAGGATCTTTGAGTGCATTCACGTGTTTCCACTGCAATTTTGTGCTGATAGAGAGCATGCCTCACTAGACTATAGTATTTAGCTGTCTGTGTTTAATCATCTTCTTGATGCTGCTACTTGACAGAAGAGCTTGAGAGAGAATCTGGGAAGGAAGTCCAGGAGGTCAGCAAAGTGACCTGAGAGTACATGGAAGATAGAGGACCCCTTCATAATTCAGAAAAAGCAGAGATCTGTCTGCAAGACTTGCATTCAGCATTCCCTATCTCTAACCCCTGTGTGTGCGCAAATGCAAATCTCCACTGTTTGGGGTGCTCTAGCAACTTCAAAGGTTCTGCTTTTCTTCAGCCCCTTTCAAGTTCCTTAGATGTCTGTTGTGAAATGCAGCTTGCACGAGCAATGGATAGCCTGTGTGATTGTCATGTGCTGCATTTATTTTTAAGGATGCAAAAGTAAAAGAATTATAGAATGTCCTGAGTTGGAAGGATATTCTATAATGATCCCCAAGGATCATTGAATCCAGCTCCTGGCTTCACAACGCATTACCCAAAATTGAAAGCCTATGTCCAAACAGTCATAGAATCATAGAATCGCCATGGTTGGAAAAGATCTCCAAGATCATCTAGTCCAACCGTCCACCTCCCATCAATATTGACCAACGTGATCTCCTTCTATGATGGAGTTACCCACCTGGTGGACGAGGGAAACATTGACGTAATATATTGGTGGTTCTGTGATTCCATGTTGCCCACTAAACCACGTCCCTCAGTACCACATCTAAACATTTCTTGAATGCCTCCAATGACAGTGACTCCACGACCTCCCTGTGCAGCCTGTGCCAGTGTGTCACCACTCTTTCTGAGAAGACATTTTTCATAATATCCAACCCGAACTTTCCTTGGTACAACTTGATTCCCTCTAGTCTACTCCTTGAACTCTAGCAGCTCGGGGCTGCCCTGGGCAGCCTTCACCATCTTCTGGTGAAGAACCTTTTCTTAACCCCCAACCTGACACTTCCTAACACAACTCCATGCTATTCCCTTGAGTGCTGTCTGTGTCACCAGAGAGCAGAGCTCAGTGCTGCAGGCCACCATGAGGTCTTCCTTCAGCCTCCTCTGCTCTAGGCCAAGCAAATCACAGGACCTCAGCTGCTTCTCATATATGCTGCCCTCCAGACCCTTCCCTATCTTTGTAGTCCTCTTTTGGTTACTCTATAACAATTTTATGTCCCTCCTATGTTATGGCACACAAAACCTCTTTAATTGAGGCCACACCAGCTCAGAGATATCTCAGGACAGAACAGTCCCTTGCTAAGACTGTCTGGCAGTGCAGTACTTAATAAAGCACCTCATAGATAGTTATGCCCTTATACAAAGGCTGCTCTGAAAGTACTGCCTCCTATTTTATTATTTTGGCCCATGACATCAGAAGCAGATGTCAGTGTTACGGCAGTAGAGGTTGAATCTTTGCCATGTGACAGATGGCATCAGAGGAGTGGTGTAGCAGAATGGGGTCTGCTATGGAATAGCATATGAAGCAAAAAGTGTGTCATTTAATTCCTCCATGCAGGAAAAAAATGGCACTCAATTACATTCATTGACACTTGTAGAACATTTGTGGACACCAAACAGGGGATGTCAGCACAGTGAGGCAGTAGGTGGAGCATTTCTTCAGCAGCAATGGCGATGTGAAAGACAAGCCATGTTTCAGATGGCCATGTACAGCTGTCATACCATGAAATGAAGAGTGTCTTGATCAGCTCATCCATGTGAATCAGCAGATTGCAGCTACAGAACTATGTATGGAACTGAATATCAGCTTCAGTGCATTAGAAACGATGGTGAAAACATTGGAATATCGCAGTGCCAGATGGGTCTCACAGATTCTCACACTGGAACAGAAAGTACACTGTATGCAAGGTTGACAGGACCCGTTTAACCAATCCAAGGCTGAAGATTACGGTTTCCTGGATTGTATCTTTACCAGTGACAAGATGTGGTGCTAATACTATAAGCCAGAATCAAAATGGCAGTCCATGAAGTGGCGACATGTGAATTCCCCATCAAAGAAAAATTCAAGATACAGCTCTCAGTGGATGAAGTAATGTTGTACTGTCTTTTGGAACAGAAAAGAGGTGATGCTGCCAGATTTCCTAGAACCCAGACAAAGCATCAACTCTGACCACTACACTGTGACACTGACTAAGATGAAGGCTCAAACTTTCAAATTCAAGCTAGAGAAGAATACAGCTTTTCTCTTGCAACACGATAATGCCAGGTCACATACCAGTCTGAAGACCATGGAGCAGATTGCCAGACTTGGCTGGACTGTCCTACCATACCTACTGTATAGTCCAGATTTGGCACCTTCTGACTTCCATCTTTTCGAGGCCAATGAAAGATGAACTGCATGGGCAACAACACCATGATAGCAGCTGTGAAACAGTGTGTCACTTCCACTAGCACAGATTTCAGTGAGAGTGGCATGTAGGCTCTTGTCCACCACTGATGAAAATGAATTAGTAATGATGGTGACTATGTTGAAAAGTAGTGCTTTGTGGCTGAGAATTTGCTCTATCAGACAGTGTTATTGTGCTCTTTGCATCTGTCATATTTTCCACAGAAATAAATAGGAGGAATTACTTTCAGAGCAACCTACATTTTTAACCCTTTAAGTGGAATAAGGGAGTAGAAAGATTCACCAAAATCTCAAGAATGGGTGAACAAACAGCCAAGTAGGCATCCTCATTTTTACTGAGGACTGTCCTGGAGAGGCAACCTGCAATGAAGGACACCTTTGCCCTCTTACCATGGCCAGGAGAATCCTGACTGCTACATACCTTTTGTGCTCCTTCACAAATTCGACCAGTTCCTCTTCTGTGTAAGGTTTATCGGGGATGTGAACAGGATCATCCATGAATGGTTCATAGAAGTCCACCTCGTTCATCTTCAGACCCAGTTTCTTAGCAACCTGTGGGAGTTCAAATGGTCACAGTTGAATGAGCCTGAGGTGCATCCTGGGCATCCAGAGCCTCTGCTGGTGGAAGAGTTGATGCCAAGCAATTTTCTCTCCCTCAAAGTGCACTCTTAGTGTGGCCAGCAAAATATGAATGAATATGATGAATATGTCCTTGCAAAAAAAAAAAGAAAGAAAAAAAAAAAAGCACTGATTCTTTCTAAGTACCAAGCACTGTGGGAGAGCAAGAATCTTTGTCCTGCAAGCCTAATGGAGCTGGAGATGATTCCCAAAACCAGATCCAAATCTGACTCCCCACTACAGAAATGGCTTTTAATCTTGGAACAGAGCCAATGCAAAAGCAGACAGAAATACTACAAGTTACAGGAATGCTCAAAATGAAAAGCTAGAGCCAGATACTAAATCCAGGAACATTCTGAGCTTCTGGAAAATGCTGTATAAGTTGTGGATTTGGAAATTACAGGCAGAGCAAAGCTTTGTGATAAACACGGCTTGCGCAATAAACATCTTCTTGCGCAATATGCTTCTGCCGATTTGTATGTCTTAATGCCCCCTATTTGAACAGCTCTCATTTATTCCATTCCAGTTCATTTCTGTCTAGGTGTTGCACACGAGGAGCCTGAAGCCAGAGTACACCTATCTTGTCCATTTGAGACGTTAACAGCCTCAAATAGCAAAGGAGGAAATGAGCTACAACAGAGCAAGACTCCCAATCCTCGCTTACGCAAACCAGCCTTGATCTATCTTTGCAGTGACATGCCCACTGTGAATGTGCAAGTGACAGCTCGTGATCAAGGAGGGCCAGGGGCAGATGCAGAGCTGAAGGAAGGTGGGAGCACTGTTGACCAGTAGTTCACAAAATTACAGCATGGTTGAGTCTAGAAGTGGCCTCTGATGTCATCTGGTTCAACCCTCTTGCACCAAAAGAGTTACCCAGAATAGGATGCTCATGGCCATTCTAACCCTCACACTCAGAGTTTTAGGGAAAGCCTTCTCTCAAATTCTTGCTTCAAAGCCTATACCTTTGCAGTGGAAAGGCCTTAAGCTGTGCAGAAAGGAGTCTGTCATCTCCCATGATGAGGTGTGTGTATGCTTACCCCTTTGTCAAATGTGGCAAAGAACTTGATGTACGGTTGGAAGTGTTCAGCAGCCTCTTCAAATGCCTTGTAATCTGTAAGGAGAAAAGGGGAATGAAGGAAAGATTTCATAGACATCTGGTCTCATTCTGATCAGTACAGGAGGCAAATATAAATTGTTACAAAATACAGCAGATGACAATACTATGTTTCTTACACACCTTCCGGATTTACAAACAAGAACCATTTCATGTGGAGTGAACAGAATACACTTTGTGCAGCTCCACTACAGATCCCAAAATGCTACATTAAGCAGGGGCTAAAATCAGCAGCCCTTTGAAGCAAGCCCAAGGGTGTAGGAATGGGCTTATGCACAGCAAAAGCAGAAGCTCACTTTTGCAACCCTACCTCATCCCCCAGAGACTAATGCGCTGCAACCGCTTGTCTCCTTAATGTTAATGAACAGGAACATATAACCCCCAGCACCCTCACCAAGGCTCCCACAAGGAACATAGCCAACTTACGTTCAGAGTCTTCTCCTTTGAAGTAGCCGATCAGTTTGATTTCGTCGTCAATTTGGTCAAAGGCTTGAAGCTCCAGCTTGCTGTTTATGATTTCCACAGGGTCTTCTAGCAACTGCCATGACAAATGCATATGATAACACAACAATTTGCTGCACCAACCCGTAACTGCCAGACTGTGTCACTAGCTGCTTAAGTGGGGAGAAAGAGGTCACCTAATTTATCTGCTGCTGGAAACCCTGTTTGGTGCTCTCTGCCTCTCTGTGAGAAACTAACTGAGACACGTAGGTCACCTTCAGAAGGAGCATTTAATAGGTTCACACAGGCTGAAGCATTCAGAGGAACGCTGAGAGAAGTATGGGTGACCCAAATAGATGCTGTGATGGGAGATAAAGTGTAGTGATTGCAGCTGGCTTTAAGGAGGCTGTGAAGATGGTAGAATGGTTAAAAGGACTGCAGTATGAGGACTGTGTTCTTCTGTGAATGAGGGACATAACTTGTTTTTAAGTGTAGCTTGCTGGAAGAGACCATTATTAAGATATTTTGGAAAAATATTTAAAAGAACATGCTAGAGTGTGACCAAAAAATGGAGCAGTGGGAAGTCTAGAAGTGAAATTTCCTGGCTGGTCTACATGTGCATGGTGGGTTAAATCTGTTCTTTGGCCCCACACACATCACAGTTCTGATGAAAAAGTTGGAAGACCAATCAGCTAGTTTATCCTAGTTTTAGTCCAAGCTTTATTTCTTAACCAGACACTGCTGGGGGAAGGATTTGGTCTGATTTATTTATTTGTTTTGTTTTGTTTTGATGTGCCAAGCAATATTGGTGTAAATTGCGTGTGGCTTCACTAGGAAAACAAATGCAGGCATGCCACCCCATAACCTGCAGCGGAGTAGAGAAACACTGGGTTTGCTTGAGATCAGGCTGTCCAGGTACCACTGATGTGTTTGCTTTTATTTCCCTGCTTTTGCTTTTATTTCCCTGCTTTTCTATGTGTTTTTCCTTGAGTGGAAAACATACAAACAGGAATCCTTACTCTCCTCCTTTCTTTGCAGAACTTGTTCTATCCGTGGTGCACCACAAAGCATGGCAAATGGAGCCTCGTGAGGTGGCTTATGCTGCACCCCTTACCAGTAACACTCCATTGTGCACATCTCCCTCCTGCTGTTGTGCTGTTGGGGTTTAAGCCACATAAATGAGGACTCCATCACTACCAGGCTGCAAGAAAAGCTCTGTTTTAGTTGGAATTTATGTGCGACTGTTGCTCGCTCCCTGTTTGAGCAACCAAATATTCCATAAACAGGAAAGAGAGAAAAATGTATTTAAGACATAAGTGGTTGATGGCATATAAAGGTCCTGGCTTTTCTGGGAACTCATGGTCAAGTATTTGGGAAGTTGGCAAATAACATCATTTGCATGCTGGTGTGCAGCAAACAGGGATGGAGTTTCAAGTAGAGATAACCTGTGTTTTTTTGCAAAGTGAGTGCAAAGTCTTCTCTGAGAGGCTTTGTCTGAACTTATCTGTGCTTACATCCAAGAGGAATTCCACCAAGACGTCTGTGGCCAGTTCCCCGTCAAATTCAATCAACCGATCCTCCTTAAAGACATAGAGACTTCCCTCTTCAACCAAGCCTGAAAGAAGGAAACAGGAAATATCATGTGATCAACAGGTCACTAAAAGCATCACTCTTTTTACATCGAAGCATATTGCTGGTTATTCTAGCAACACCTCCTGGGGAAATGCAGGACTTCGTTGGTCAAGTCAGAAACAATCCTAATGATCTCGTGAGCCTAGAGGAGACTTAACTCTGTGAATGTAAAAAATGACCAAGAAGTCAAAGCAAATTTTAAACTCTCATATGCTTAGCTTGCTTTGGGAAAAGTTAGAAGCATTTGTTGGAGATGGTGCAGAAGGCAGGCTGGCACATGACTGAGCTGAGGACTGGATGCCACACCATCTTGATGAAGTCTCCAAGATGAGGGGCTCTGAGCCCTGCAGTGCATGATGACAGGGATATGTATTGCTTTCTGGAGAAGCAGAAGTTCTCTGCTTTATTTTCATATACACTGTGACACTTACCCTGTAATTTAGGAAAGAAAATAAGTCTCTGGTGTTAAGCCTAGTGTGGTATTTAAGTACCATTGTATTTGCATGCCGTAGTATTTCCATATTCTTTGTGGGATGAAATATGAAAAAATACTACATAGCTACTAGAGGGCAGCTGTTTCAAGGGGTGGAAACAGGAGGATGGAGGATTCCTCTTATATCTGGGGATCAACTCAGGAAGGGGTGGCACCTGGTTGCCATTGCAAGGCTGCAGTTCCTATTAGTGGCTGGGGATCACCCTTCCAGGAACCAGATGGCATCTGTGGACACTTGTTGCTTCAGTAGGTGTTGGTTCTGCATCACTGTATCAGAGCTGTCTCTGCGCAGGAAGAGCATGGAGTTTTCACACCACGGTATCGAAGCTATTCTGGAGATAGCAAACATGGGACTTACCTAGCTTTTTGGCGAGTTTGGCATCCTTCTTGGAATCTACCATCCCAAAGCCGATGCTCCTAGGCTCCAGGACCTGAGCTGCCAGCTGTGGGGAAAACCAGAGTCCAGCATGAGCAGCAGGAATGCTGGAGGACATTGTGCCTTGTCTGGATGGCACAGGAGGCACAGATGACCCATATTTTGCTCCCAGGCAGCATCGATGGGTGGCACACATCACATGTTGCCTCTTTACTGAGATAAGGCTGTCTGGAGGTCATAAGGGTTGGATTTCTTCCCACTGTGTCACAGCGCTGGGTTTGCTGGTGATACCACGGGCTGCCAACTGCGCTTTGACACTTGGGCATCAGGAGAGTGTTCCCAGCCACATTGGTGACACCGAAGTAGCGGGAACAGCTGGGAGGAAGACTTACACCCTCTGGCACACCAAAAACTCTCTCCTTCCTCACGCATCTGTGGTATCGTACAGGGGACCGTGACACTGTCTAGGTACTGAAGATGTTTTAATTCTGGGAGTGGTTGGTGCTAGGCACCAGTGGCTGGAAAACTGAGGGTAGCAAAAGTATCACTGCTTACATATGATGGAGTAGCAAAAGCACCCAGGCTTTGTGAAAATAGCAGTGCTACACCACGAAGTGCTCCTGGCCATCACTGTGTCTCCTTTCTGTCCTGGGCTCTCCCTTTATCTCGCTATATCAATCCTTTATTGCTCGTCTTGTCCCTCTGGAAGGAAATTCAAATCCAGTGGTGCTTAATGCCCCACCTGGTATTGAACTGTGGGCCAGTCAGAGGGTAACAGCGCAGCATTAAGACAACATGGTTGAGCTAACACACAATTCAATTTCTTCTGCTCTGAAGTGTCTCAAGTCCCATCTCCTGTCCTGGCTTTGGCCAGCTCCCCTGCTCTGGGTCCTCTCTTCTGCCCTGTTTCCTCAGGAAACAGGGCTAATCCCAGCCACGCTCGTATTTGTCACCTTGCAGCTTTGGAAACTGCTGCCCCATCCTCACCATTTTTGATGAAGGGGCCTCTTGGTGATATCAAGTTCCTGCCTGATTTGTGAAAATAGATATCTGTGGAAAGGAGAGACGCGCTACAAGTGCCCTGTGGTGGGGACCCTGCGAATTCCTCCCGGCCGCCGTGGACATGTGTCGGCCCTGGGAAGCAGGCAGGCAACGTCCTCATCCACAGGCACTCTCTGGAGTGGTAACACCATCTCGAGACCCTTGAGCAGCTGTAACACCCCCTCCTCATCCCTCTTCTCCTGCTCCACAGATGCCTCTGATGCCGACAGCCTCCTTGCTGTCTTTCCAGTGCACCCTGCCACAGGGAGCATACCCCATCTCAGCTGCTGCCCCGTTTCCATCCACAAAACCCTACTGAATTTGGGGATAGGGAATAAGAGTTGGAGGCCTCTGAGATGTCCCTATTAGGGCACGGCCACCTCCACTCACTGGAGGGAGCAGCAGAAAGGCTGCAGCCAGAGAGATGGCGGGCTGATTTATGGTACTGCCCTCCTCCAGGGCCCATTTCAGCACCCCCTCAACCTCAGAGCCAGTTTGAATGTCACCCAGCGCCGCTGTGTCCGTGGCCATGCGTCCCCTTGGCTCCCTGCTATAAATAGTCTCCACCTGCAGATGGCCGGCAATTGCAGGGATCATGGAGGAAAAGTCTCAAAATTCTAGGGGAGAACAGCAGGGATCCTGAAGATATGGGCTCAGAGACTTTACTTAGGCTAAGAGTGGTGACACTTATTTGAAGGACAGGGTTATCTTCTCCCTGCCACCAAATGCATGTCCCAGAGCCCCCCTAGAAAGACATTCTCCACCATCACAGCATCTCAGCTTCTTTTTCCAAAGGATGGTGCCTACAGCAGTGCATACCCAGATATCCCCTTCACAATGTCATCAGGGAACAGGAACACCCAATTACCTTAACCCCCCGCAGCTACCTGGCTTGCTGTCTCTAGGAGGTGCTGTAGGTTGTAAAGGAATCGCGTTGATTTGCTAATCTTCTCTCACTCTCTACCGAAAATTGGAAATAAAAGGGAGGCTGCAGGTCAGGGCTCTTGCTTACAGAAGACACTGCCTGAATAAAGTAGAACAATGGTCTATATTCACACATCTATGGATAAAGCTTCAGAGCATTGGTCTGATCAGTCTGGTGTCCCCTCACCTGGGCCTTGTTAGAGCAGCTGATGTCCAACATGGCAGGAGGAGATGGGCACCTCTTGCGTGGAGGTGCCTTTATTGGGAAAAGGGATGGAGCCTGTGGGATAAGAAGCTTTAGGGGATGTGTGACTCCCTGCACTGAAGCAATTGTGTAGACCAGCACAAACACCTTCAAAGTTTGAGGCTCTGGCTGTGCTGAGACTGTCCAGTCATGTAAATATACTTCATCTAGCTGCAGCCTTACAGGCTACTTACTTACATCTGCTAGTCAAGTGCCAGATCCAGCCCAGGCAGTTTGAGCCCTATAGCTCTTGACTAGTGTGTGCAGGAGACGGTTAGAGTTTCTTGGGGGTGTTTGAAGAAGTTCAGCAATGTGCCTTCATCATCTGAGGCTGTGACACCTGCTGCAGACAAGTGGCTGGGCAGGAGTGAGAGATGTTTGTAAAAGTGGAGGCTTAGATCAGGAGGAGCATATGTGAACATGCAGTGTATGCAAGACAGCTCTTCAGGGTTGAGTGTGTGAGCATGGGAGCTTGCTGGAAAAGAGTAGACGTGTCTAGAAAATTAGGGATGGGATGGAAGCTTCTTTGTGCAAGACTGTGGGAACATGTACTTCATTAGGGCTTGGGAGGCAAAAAAACCCAGAATCACAGCATGGCTGTGCCACAGCAGGGACAGCAGGGACAGCCAGAGCACGGTGCCAGGCCCACATCAGGTGACTTTTGGAGACCTCTCAGAGGGAGACTGCACAGACTCTCCTACAAGCATGTGAGATGTCTCTCTGAAGAGAGACAGAAGATGAATGTGAATAGATGGAAGTGCATGTAGACAGTGCGTGTACAGAGGAGAGTGTGTTTGTGTACATGTGCAAATGATGGAACTGTGCACTCTGCTGGCAGCCTTTCTCCTTTGTTGGAGCTTTCAGGATAATGAGATAAGGAGCGAGCAGTACAGCCCCTGCCAATCCACAGAGCTCTTCAGTCCTCAGTGGGAAAATCTTTCTGCAACATGAGACTCAGCACAGCTCTTTCCACTGGCACTGCTGGAAGGTAGGAGACCTTTGCAGGCTGCCTGTGCCTACAGTCACATTTTCAAATGCCAGCTCCGTGGGGCTGGATGTTACTCCTGCTTGCTGCTTCCCAGTGGGGCAGGTGGGTGTGAGCAGTGCCCAGGTGTGCACGCATTCCCGTATCTACATTTGAACTCCATCAGGCAGCAACATTTAGAGGATGCCAGAGGCACGCAGCTTGGTTGCCCCCAGCTCATTACAGTATCAAGCATCTGTAATATCCCCTTACAGTATTTTCTGTTTCCATAATGCTAGTGGGATTTGAATGCAGATAATGTTTCTGATCTTGACAATCCTTTTGGCTCAGAACTTCGGAACAGAGGCGGCTGTAATATAAGAACACAGCTCCTACTCCTTCTTCTCCACTTAAATTCATATTGCTTGAAGTCTCATCCAGCCAGAGCCCCTGCCTTTGTGTCAGCCTCTATAGTGAGTAATTTAGCTTCAACAGCTGCATGGGGAGATGGGAGGGAGAAACTGCCCCGGAAGAACTGGGCTTAGCTGGTTATGCAGTTCCTAAGGTACATGAAGAGGCTCAGGGCAGGCAGGGCTTAGAGCACAAGCAAAGACAGCAGGTGTATCCCATGCACATTTTGCAACCTTTATCTCGTAAGCACAAAGCCTTTGCAGTGCATTCTTTCTAGCCACGGGGTCACAAGTTGAGTCCTGTGCATTCTCAGGAACAGGAGTTGTGAGTATTCCTCAGGTAACAGCCCTATTCTCATTTGAGTAGGTGCATGGCCCTGTGAGATTGGTGAGAAGTGCCAGCCCCAAATGAAGCCTGAGGACCATTCTACAGTTCTATGACCTACAAGTGAGAAAGCACCGTCTCATCAGGGGTTGGAACTAGATGATGATTAACATCCCTTCCAAACTAAGCCTGTGATTCTGTGATTCTATGATTTTGGGTGGTGTCAGCAGATGCTAGCAATCTGAATAATGGTGATAGAAGGAAACAGCTCCTTGCTAGAGCATCTCAGCTTCCTACTGCCATAACTATCTGAACTGAGGTGTGGTGATGTGAAGCTTTAAGGAGACTCTGAAATCTTATGCTACAAGAAGCAGCAGCATCACCCTTGTAAAGGTGATAGGTTGTCTGACAACAAACCTATTCAGCTGCAGATGGCGGTGATAGTTCTGGACCTTCCATTTGGTGTCAGTCTTGCCATCAAATGGCAGAACAAATGCAGTAGAGAGGGTTACAGATAGAGATGAATGAGACAGGTATCCCAGCATAGTCAGTCTTTCATCGTGGAGTGATGTTATAGGTTTCTGGCTTGGATTTTCTTCTCACTTCACCGTCTAGATCCCCCCATCAGCAAGGCTGACATTCCCCGGCTGCCCAGGCTGGAAGGCAGGGTGCTTGGCGCACCTGGGTCTCTGATAGCCTCTGGGAGTACCTCTGCTATGCACAGGGAAATTGCTGTTTCCCAGCAGGCAGTGGTAGAAGAGCAAAACTGAAGAAACACAAAGAACAGAGCAATGGGATTATATGGAAAGTCATCTTTCTTTCCACTTTTCTGTTGCTTTGCTCTTTAAAGCTGTCAGAGCTTGGTGATGGCCAGAACATGCTGATGTGAAGATGAGGATGACTTAATGTCTTAAAACTTATTTTTGTTTTCAGAAACAACAGGAGGATATGGCAAGAAACTAGAGTATTTCCCCGAAGGCTTTGAAAGCTTCTGCAGAACTCATACCTTTACACTGTGGTTGGCTTCTCCATTGTTTGAACAGTCTGTAGTAGAGCAGAGGGGTATCACTCTCCTCAATGCTGTTTTGTGCCATGCCGCAACCCCTCACAATACCCATCAGAAAAGTATTGGATCTTGTAACTCAGGCTGATGAATGAC